GGTCTGGATTGACGATGATTAGAGGTCTGGACAGAAGATGTTTAGAGGTCTGGATTGACGATGGTTGGAGGTCTGGACAGACGATGGTTAGAGGTCTGGATTGACGATGATTAGAGGTCTGGACAGAAGATGTTTAGAGGTCTGGATTGACGATGGTTGGAGGTCTGGACAGAAGATGTTTAGAGGTCTGGATTGACAATGGTTAGAGGTCTGGATTGACAATGATTAGAGGTCTGGACAGAAGATGTTTAGAGGTCTGGATTGACGATGGTTGGAGGTCTGGACAGACGATGGTTGGAGGTCTGGATTGACAATGGTTAGAGGTCTGGATTGACGATGATTAGAGGTCTGGACAGAAGATGTTTAGAGGTCTGGATTGACGATGGTTGGAGGTCTGGACAGACGATGGTTAGAGGTCTGGATTGACGATGATTAGAGGTCTGGACAGAAGATGTTTAGAGGTCTGGACAGAAGATGTTTAGAGGTCTGGATTGACGATGGTTGGAGGTCTGGACAGACGATGGTTAGAGGTCTGGACAGACGATGGTTAGAGGTCTGGATTGACGATGATTAGAGGTCTGGACAGAAGATGTTTAGAGGTCTGGATTGACGATGGTTAGGGGTCTGGACAGACGATGGTTGGAGGTCTGGATTGACGACAGTTAGAGGTCTGGATTGACGATGGTTGGAGGTCTTAATAGATAGTGGTTAATTTTTCGCATAGATTTTATCTTTAGTATCAAATCAATTTAGATTTGGTGTTGATCCGGTTCTGTTTCTCTTGACCATATTTAGCTCCACTTTGCCCCCCCAACTATCATGAATGGGGACTTAACTTGAGCTCATCTGCCAATGCGGCCCTTCATCTCACCATGCATACAGAGGCTGGCTGTGGGTGGGGGTGGGGGTGGACGTCCTAATGTGGAGGAAAGGAGACCTTAGAGGACCTGCGGTTCCTTCAGGTTTCCAGCAAACATCTAGTTTCTGTTTGTTAACTGGAGTTAACCAAACAAGGTGGAACCATTATCATCCATTAAGGCTACCAGTCCGGCTTCATCATCATCATCCTCATCATCATCATCATCATCATGACTCCATAAGGTGCAGTTATGAAGGCAGTGAACTCCATCCAGGTGGATCGGGACGGGAATCATTATCTTACAGTCGTCCACCTCCTGCATCCCTGGTTTGGAGCCATGTTTGTCCATCAGTGTTAAATTAAGCTCAGGTTTCAATTCAGACTGAAGCTAAAGCTAAAACCTGACTATGATTGGACGCTGGCCAGAAAAGCTGGCTGGAAAAGAGGCCCAGGTGCAGTCAGACAGTTCAGTTCAGAATGGTTCTCTAAGTATGCCACCGGGTTCTGGGGTCCACTCTGAGTGGGGCGTGGCCTAAAAAGCCTAAAGTCCAGGAGGCAGTCCAGTTTCCTTCACTGGATAAGAGCAGCACTTGGTTGGGGTACCGTCAGACCTCCTGAACCCATCTCTCAATCTGCAACAGACCTCTGGGTCGGAACATGGATGGACCAGTAAACCAAGCTCCTGTTTATGGCTTTTCACCCCTGGATCTACTGACCCATCCTCCACCGCACCCCCCTTCATTACCAAGACACTTGAACTCCTTGGCTTGAGGCAAAGACTGACCTTTGACCTTGGAGGAACGGTCCGGGTTGTTTAGCTTCAGCTTCAGACCCGTGGCATTTAGACGGCGGAGCTGACGGATGCTTCCTGCTTCTAGTAGAATGGGAGGCAGATCTTTTAGTTCTCAGGCTCCTCTCCTGTGGAACCAACTACCAGTTTTAGTCCGTGAGGCAGACACCCTGTCTACTTTTAAGGCTAGGCTTAAAACTTTCCTTTTTGATAAAGCTTCTAGTTAGAGTGGCTCAGGTTATCCTGATCTATCTCTATAGTTCTGCTGCTATAGGCTTAGACTGCTGGAGGACATAGGGACCCCTTTTTCCTTTTTCTATGTCTGCTTCTGTCTCCTTGAACCCCAGTGGGCCTCAGCAGATGGCCGCTCACACTGAGCCTGGTTCTGCTGGAGGTTCCTTCCTGTTCAAAGGGAGTTTTTCCTCTCCACTGTCGCTACAAGCATGCTTAGTGTGAGGGATTGCTGAAGAGTCAATGAGTCGATGCAATCAGCTGGTTTTCCTTAGATAGAAAACTTTGAATCAATCTGTCTGGATGATCTGGTGAACTGGAAAGTGACCTGAGATGACATGATGTGAATTGGAGCTATAGAAATAAAATGAATAGAATTTAATTGAAAGCTTTATGTCCCAAACCATCAGAACCATTTGGCTCTAACTAAACTGAAAGAAGGAAATATTCCCAGTGACTAAGGGATTAAAGTAAACATTGTGCAAAGCCTGAAATTATGAAATGTTGAAAAGAGAAACCTAGAAATGCTTAAATTTATAGATCCGTTTTTTGGTTCTGTTTGTGGGACGTAGAGAAATGAAGACGAGGGAAGGAGGCGGATGACTTCCTCCGACAGCTGCTCGGCATCAGGCATCGTTTCCCACCTTCATTACGGAACCTCGCATCAATAAACCAGACGACCTCCAGGCTTTTTCCAAGACAAACGGAGCAGCAGAACACCCGAGCTGTTTCCGCGCTCCGCTCCACCAGGACCTTTGAACTTCTCCGTCTAAACCAGGATCCGTCTGAAACCTAAAAACCGGCCAACCGCCGGAGAAACCGTGTGCGTTAGCTAAAAACAGAGCAAAGCTGCATCTTCCAGTGAGACGGGCCGTGATTCATGTCTTCTATCAACCTGACATTACAAACGGACCGCCGGCGGGTCGTCATGAGCGGGAAGAAATCCAGGCGGGTCCCGGCAGACCGACAGGGAAGCAAAGCGAGCTATTCCTGCCGCCGTTCAGGGACCGGCTCTGTCCGTCACGTTGTCAGAGTGTAGAGTGAGAGGAATGACCTGGAATGCTGACTCACTCGGGTCGGAGGCCCCCGGAGCCGCCCGGGAGGCCCCCCCGTTACCCCATCCCCTGGCTGGATGGAGAGCAGATAATGATCCGTGGCCCTGACCCCTCTGCTCCTAAATCTCAGGTCAGCCCGAGAGATTCCCACCAGAGGGAACACGTGCGACAGCGCAGGAATTTTAATTCAGTCCAGGAATCAGCTGGCTCCCCCCCCCCCATCCTGCCTTCCTCTTTGTCTCCAACAAAGACGAGACGCACCAGGTTACAATAAAAAGATCTGAACGCTCTACTGTAGGCCAAAGACGGGGAGAACGACGACGCCCTCATGGAGGCCTTCCAGGTTAAAAAACCTGAGAAAAATGTTAACGAGAAACACAACTCCATAAAGTCAACATTAAAAGCCCAAAGACTTCATTTAATGCGGCGGTTAAAGAGAGACGGGGCATCTTCTGTGGTTCGCCGCTCGCCAAGGCCTAATTAGTTCTGATGTTTTGGGTAAACTTCCCAGATCCCAGAAAAAAGGCGGCAATAAAAGATAAAAACGGCCCATTAAAAGGATGCATGAAGATACGCGGAGCGCTAGTAAAACCTGCTAGCTCAGGAGCATCAAACACCGAAGCTTCACGCCGCAAAGATTGAATAAACTGCAGCTTCCAGAACAAAACTCCTCAAATTATTAAATTAAAACCTTTAGAAAGCTGTTGGCTTTAGATTTTAGCCTCTTGTTTAAACTTCCCCTTTAACAAGCTGATTACTTCCAACGTTTGGTTACCGAGGAAACAGAAAACAACCGGTCAGACCAGCATACACATAGTCAAAAACTGTTTCAAATTTATTTTTCTTACAAAATTAAAGTAATAAACTCCCTCAACGGGCGCCTATCCCTTTAGTCATGTTCAAAAAAATATTTGAATTACCCTAATTTTTGGTGTTTTTTGAAGCGTATGGCGATCTGACATTAAATAGTTTTTTTTGTACGCGAAGAAAGAGATAAACGCAAATCTGACGTCTTGCAAATGCGTATTACCTATGAATACGCTGGTTTGACGGGGTTTTCTATCTAAGGAAAACCAGCTGATTGCATCGACTCATTGACTCTTCAGCAATCCCTCACACTAAGCATGCTTGTAGCGACAGTGGAGAGGAAAAACTCCCTTTGAACAGGAAGAAACCTCCAGCAGAACCAGGCTCAGTGTGAGCGGCCATCTGCTGAGGCCCACTGGGGTTCAAGGAGACAGAAGCAGACATAGAAAAAGGAAAAAAGGGGTCCCTATGTCCTCCAGCAGTCTAAGCCTATAGCAGCAGAACTATAGAGATAGATCGGGATAACCTGAGCCACTCTAACTAGAAGCTTTATCAAAAAGGAAAGTTTTAAGCCTAGCCTTAAAAGTAGACAGGGTGTCTGCCTCACGGACTAAAACTGGTAGTTGGTTCCACAGGAGAGGAGCCTGAGAACTAAAAGATCTGCCTTCCATTCTACTTTTAGAAGTTCTAGGAACCACTAGTAAACCTGCAGATTGAGAGCGAAGTGCTCTGTTAGGAACATGGGAATTGGTGCCTTTGAGATTTGAAAATTGCGATTTGCAAATGCGATTAATGGGCTAACCCTAATAACGATTTCTCATTGCCCCCCCCTGTCTCTGACCTTGTGTGTAAACATCTTGAGTCAGTGAGGAGGTTTCTCAGCGCGGCTGTGCTTCTCCAGAGGAGTTGTTTGGATAGAGGAGCAGAGGAAAGCTTTTCCCGGAGCTGTCAGTCCCGCTTTGAGTCTGGGCTGCGGTCTCCCTTCACACGCTCCATCACCCTGTCTAGTTCAAAGCCCTTCTAGCTGCAGGTCTTTGTCAAAAGCTTGGTTGGAGACCTTTTATGTCCAAGATGTAGGATTTCTTAGCACGACTTTGATTATTTATTTATTCCACTTCTCTTGTGTGATAGTGCCAATACTTTACACGAAAGCGCTCGGCTTGCTCTGAAATTCCCGCTGCTTTATTGTAGCCCCCTTTTTTTTCCTTTGAAATTCCTCTCAGTTCCTCACTTCTGCTCTTCCCGTTTGTCTTTGCAGCCCCCCAGCACCTCTTCCCCACCTTCCACACGCCGATCCCCATCGACATCCGGCACCATGAAGGACGGTACCACTACGAGCCCCACGCTCTGCACGCCATGCACAGGTACGCCAGCCTTTCTACGAGCAGCTTCAGAGGCTGGATCTGATCCGCTCTGAGGTCTTTAAAGCTTTCTGAGTCAAATCTAAACATCACATCTAATTTCTACTGTACAGAACAAAGCTTGTTTTCTCCTCTTAACTCTGGAGCGTTTGTAAGCCGACGCTGATTGGAGTTGAGCGTTTGCCAACTCCAGTATGAAAAGAAGACGACGCACGCTGATTCCAAAGTGAATAAGCAATTCCTCCTCTGCAGCTCCTGTTTCCGATAGGAGCGCTGCTCTTTGGGCTCCATCCGTCAGCGGTTCAAACGCCTCGGAGAACTCTGCAGCTTGGCTGCAGGAATCTGAACCTTAGAGGGAAAACTCCTTGTTATGTGATCAAGGTGCCATGATAGATCTTTTTAACAGTCGTCATGTTTTGGTTCAAGGAGACTTGCCTGAAACTTTTACTGGATTAAAGCGTTTTTATGGGTCCAAACTATGCCGTTTGCTTTGATATTAGAACAAACATGTTCCAATCCTAACAGTAGCAGCCATTTAGAACGGTCATTCCCAGTCAAAAAGCAGCCGAATCCACTCCAACTTCCAGCCACTGGCCTTCTCCTGGGCCTGCATATTTTTTTACTGACTCCACCCTTTCAAAGAATTTCACCAGGGTCTGACCAGGAGATGATGCTTCTCTTTAGAATTAAATGACCAAAAATTATGACAGAAAGGAATATTTTTGTACAAAGATTGATGATTGAAAAGGAATTGTAGGGGACCAGCCAAGGACCAGCCAAGGACCAGTCAAGAACCATCAAAGGACCAGCCAAGAATGAGCCAAGAACCATCAAAGGATCAGCCAAGAATGAGCCAAGAACCATCAAAGGACCAGCCAAGAACCATCAAAGGATCATCCAAGAACCAGCCAAGGACCAGCCAAGGATCAGCCAAGAACCATCAAAGGACCAGCCAAGAACCAGCCAAGAACCATCAAAGGACCAGCCAAGGATCAGCCAAGAACCATCAAAGGATCAGCCAAGAACCAGCCAAGGACCAGCCAAGGATCAGCCAAGAACCATCAAAGGATCAGCCAAGAACCGTCAAAGGACCAGCCAAGGACCAGCCAAGAACCAGCCAAGAACCATCAAAGGACCAGCCAAGGATCAGCCAAGAACCATCAAATGACCAGCCAAGAACCAGCCAAGAACCATCAAAGGACCAGCCAAGAACCAGCCAAGGACCAGCCAAGAACCATCAAAGGATCAGCCAAGAACCATCAAAGGACCAGCCAAGAACCATCAAAGGATCAGCCAAGAACCAGCCAAGGATCAGCCAAGAACCATCAAAGGATCAGCCAAGAACCATCAAAGGACCAGCCAAGGACCAGCCAAGAACCAGCCAAGAACCATCAAAGGACCAGCCAAGGATCAGCCAAGAACCATCAAAGGACCAGCCAAGAACCAGCCAAGAACCATCAAAGGACCAGCCAAGAACCAGCCAAGAACCATCAAAGGACCAGCCAAGGATCAGCCAAGAAACATCAAAGGATCAACCAAGAACCAGCCAAGGACCAGCCAAGGATCAGCCAAGAACCATCAAAGGATCAGCCAAGAACCAGCCAAGGACCAGCCAAGAACCAGCCAAGAACCATCAAAGGACCAGCCAAGGATCAGCCAAGAACCATCAAAGGACCAGCCAAGAACCAGCCAAGAACTATCAAAGGACCAGCCAAGAACCAGCCAAGGACCAGCCAAGAACCATCAAAGGATCAGCCAAGAACCATCAAAGGACCAGCCAAGAACCAGCCAAGGACCAGCCAAGAACCATCAAAGGATCAGCCAAGAACCAGCCAAGGATCAGCCAAGAACCATCAAAGGATCAGCCAAGAACCATCAAAGGACCAGCCAAGGACCAGCCAAGAACCAGCCAAGAACCATCAAAGGACCAGCCAAGGATCAGCCAAGAACCATCAAAGGACCAGCCAAGAACCAGCCAAGAACCATCAAAGGACCAGCCAAGAACCATCAAAGGACCAGCCAAGGATCAGCCAAGAACCATCAAAGGATCAACCAAGAACCAGCCAAGGACCAGCCAAGGATCAGCCAAGAACCATCAAAGGATCAGCCAAGAACCATCAAAGGATCAGCCAAGAACCATCAAAGGATCAACCAAGAACCAGCCAAGGACCAGCCAAGGATCAGCCAAGAACCATCAAAGGATCAGCCAAGAACCATCAAAGGATCAACCAAGAACCATCAAAGGATCAACCAAGAACCAGCCAAGGACCAGCCAAGGATCAGCCAAGAACCATCAAAGGACCAGCCAAGAACCAGCCAAGGAAAGAGGGGAAGTTTTGAATGGCTTCTACTGTATTTGATAAATGGAAATTTTTGGAATTTTACCCACAGAAACCAGGATGTAGGGATAAGGTATGAGTCTCATGGCTCATCTCCTTTGAGAACTGGAAAGGAATCTCTACTTGAGTGTTCATCTGGGTCAGCAGTGGTTCTGGACTGGGAACTCTGCCATTCTGTCCAGTCTCTCGATGATGGTCTGTGATGGGCGAATCCTGACCTCTGACCCTAAGTAAGGTCGAAAGATCCCTCGGCTGTTCCGCGTTCCCTCCATATTGAGAAATCATTCTGTAACCCAGACTGATCAAAGCCAGAGACGTTTCTAATCTGTTTATTAATTTCTCCAGATTAAGTCATGGTGCGTCCCCTTTGAAGTTGGCCTACTTCATGCTGTTAGGCAGGTTCCAGGTGGTGATTCAGAATATATTTTTTTTAGTGCTGTCAATCGATTAAATTTTTTTAATCGCGATTAATCGCATCAATGCCTGAGTTAACTCGCGATTAATCGCATTTTAATCGCAAATTTTTTTTCTGATTGAAAATCATTTAAATACTCTCGATGACATACAAAAAATACATACAGGCTAGGTTTGTGCCAATGTTCTTTTTTTTAAATGAGAACAGGTCACAGATACTGATTTATGCCATAGAACATATGGCAGGAAGATGGGGAGGCATGTAGCAAAAAATAACAAATATGTAGCCAAAAAAAAAGGCCCTGAAAACAGGCTGATGTAAAAGACAGTCTTTACAGTTAATACAGTCTTTTGAACAAAGACAAGCATTTTACCCTACTGCTATAAAATGTAGTACAGTTAACATTAGATGTTAATTAACCAAGATAATAATGAACAATTTTCAATCAATACATCAAAATCAATAGACCGACATCACTAGATGGAGGTAGTCTATGAAAGTTACTTTTCAGCCTCTTAACAAAAATGAGAACACACACACACACACACACACCCACCCACACACAGACACACCCACCCACACACACACACGATACCGACCTGTGACAGCAAGAGTGCCGTAGCAGATTCCATTTAACCTCAGTAATCTGTTTTCTCAGCGTATTTCAGGTTGCTACTAGTTACCAGACACTCAACTTGTTTGTTGGTGGTGGGGCTTAAAGAAAAGGCACTAGCGTCACCCAGTGTATGAGCGTCTTTTTCCCTTGAGGAGCTCCGCTCTAGAAGCCTATGAGAAATGCATACACTGGGGTAAAATAGCCCCGCCTTCCCGCAGGCTGCAGCGGGATGTACTTGGAAAATTTTACCATAAAACCACATAGCGTTAATCTCACGTTAAAAAAATTATCGCCGTTAAAATGGCCTCGCGTTAACGCGATAATAACGCGATAATTTTGACAGCACTAATTTTTTTCTAAATTGTTCTGGAGTTGCAGTCTCAGTGGTTGTTAGAGGCCTGTTAAGCACTGGTTAAACTGGTTCCAGTCTCAGCGAAGTCTTGAGACTGGAAATCGTGCTTCAAAGCCAAAGCTAGAGCTTCTCTAAATGCTACATGTGTGTATTTGCTCAGATCGTGCACCTTTAAAGGTCAAAGCTACAGTACGGCCCACCTGTTCTCCCTCTACTGGTGTCCAGCCAGCTGTCTTGTCCGTGTGGTCGGGGAATTTAGTTTCTCTTATTTCATACATTAATTTATTCTATTTCCTCACTATAAAAGTTTTCAATCTGCCTGTTTCACCTGCAAGGCTAAACAATGCCTGCCTGAGGGAGTTTGTAGACCAGTTATAGCTTCTTCCATAACAAACCAGATTCTTTCTCAGGTTTATTCATAAAATGTTACTGTTTAACCAAAGTGTCTGTAATTAGTTTTGACTCTGACTACTTTCCATTATTGTAAGTAAGGAGGAACGAACGCTGCTCAGGCAGAACAGGGCTGATTACCGTGCAATAAGTGCCGTATGATGAACCGTTCTCAAAGATGAAATAAGTGCTGACTGAGTGAAATTCATTGATCTCCATTTATTTAACCGGAGCAAATAGCCGAATACTTTTTTCCCATGACATCCGTTTATGCTAATGCTAACCAAAGCAAACGTATCTATTTAGAGGAACCTCTGAGTTTCTTTGCTAGTTCCCATTGGTTTTCCTAGATGGCAGGAGTGAGTCGTTGCTATATTTGGGCAAAAATGGCCGCTCACAGACAAAAATGATTATTTGTTCACTGATTAACGATAATTTCATGAATTAGTTTTAGGTCTAAATAATGATCCATTGATTATTCCTCGCTGACCGGACATTTCCTATCGGAGGAACATAAACCAGAGAAGAAGAACTCCAGCCTGCTCTTCCTTTAACGTCGATGTTGGCATCATAACCAGAAGTTAATAGCTTTTGATTTTAGACCCGTCAAAAGTTAGTAAACAATTATAAATGAAACCTTTTAATGAAAAAACTAAAGTTATGACCTTTAAATTTATAGCTTGAAATGAAATTATCTCCCCTATTTTATCTCCTTTTATAAATTGTACATTTTTAACGTCAGTTGAAACCTTAAATTATGTTTGTTTGTTTCTTTTAACGATCCGGTTCCCAGAAACGGCTCATATTTTACTGATGGGGCCTAATTGCTCCCTTCTCTGTGAAAGAATTTATTTGCTCATGTTTCCATATAAAAATTCTGTCATAAACGAAGATGAAACGCGTTATTGAACGAATCTGCAGCAGCGTTTTGCTTTTATTATGAACTTTCTGGTTAATGGAGTCCAGCCTGGAAGGTTGCAGCTGTTAATTACTGGGAATAACAGGTGTTTTTGCTCCCATATCAAAGACGGTGGGATGTTTGTTTGGTATCAATCTGCAGCTCGCTCCATTAGCAGCGATCGACAGCTCCAGGTCCATCACCGATGACACGAGCCTGCCCGCCTCTTTTCTGTTCATTAACAGGCTGTTTGTGGAGCTAATCTGCGCTGTGCAGGCCTGCTGCCCCGGGGTGACGCCGTAATTAAACTCCCAGGGGTCAGAGGTCATGACTGCTGCTGCAGCGGCGGTTCAAACGTGGACATTTTTTCCCACTCATGGCTTCAGCTCCTGCTGAACCAAACTTACTTTATCACAGAGGAAAAAACTGGCGCCGCGACGAGAAGTCAATAGAATCCTGCGAGTGGTGCTCTTACATTTAAATTCACAGATTTGATGGTGATGCATACTTCGCGCCTGGCGGCAGCAGGGCTATTCATCACCGCGGCTGAGGGAGATGAGGGGCGGGGAGGGGGGGCTGTCCGTGGACTTGGCCACCTTGATTAATGTGATTTGATCTTGACAGTGGACCCCTAATTCATCAAGACCTTGATCTGGCTGTCGCTCGCCCCTGCCTGCGCCAAATTCACCTAATTACAGGAACATTGCGCAGCAAATTAAGTGCGCTGTCATTTGTCGCCCTGCGCGGCACTTTATTATCCACCGGTGGCGGCGTGTCAGAGGTCCCCTCCTTGATTGTCTAACATGACATCCAGGCACCGTCCCCTTTATCATTGTTTGCATATACTGTAATGAGAGGGCTGCTTGTTTTGTCAGGCCTGTCATAAAAGCAGCCGAAGGGACGCCTCGTCGTTCTCCTGACGGCGAGCAGAGGGAGGGAAACCTTCTCCTCTTCCTTTATGAGGGTGTTTCAGTGGGTTATGGTTAAAAGTTAGTCAAGAGGGACGTTTGCTCATAACCTCATTTAGAGGTTGGTTTTTAGGCTGGATTCAGTCCAAAAACCGGTTTGGTTGGTCTGATTTTGTCCAAATTTAGTCCAATAATAGACGTTGAAAAGACGTTACAAACCTCGCTTTTAACTTCTTTTTAATGACCTGAAAATTACTTTAACTATTCAACCAAACTTAGACGTCGGTTGGATCAACTAATTTTGGTTCGGTAGGTTGGATGTAAACTCGTCTTTAAGCAGAACCAGAGACGATGTTGATGAAAATGACCGAAACCAAAGGAAAAACTCTTACAGACTTCGGCTTCCTGGAAGGTTTTACTCTCGGTTGTTGTTGCCGGTTTGAGCCTCTAGAGGTCACTGCAGCTGTCCCTTTATGAACAGGTCAGCCGCTTGGGTACGATGATGGCCGCTTGTTAGTCATCATCATCATTCGTCTCCACCACCCAGCAGATGATCCAGACTTTTTTCCGTACGGTTCCGTGACGGCGGACGAAGTGCGACCAGAAGAGGCCGGACCTTATCGGTTTAAGCTGCTCAGAACTCCCTCCTCATCGGCTTCTCCTTTCTACTCCGGCCTCTCCGACAGAACAGCTCTTCATTCTAGTTTCTTTCTTTCTTATATAAACTCGATTGCTCATCATATTGTCCATTAAATGCAGTAAGAAAACCAGCAAACCTTCTTCAATGGACAGGATGTGTCCGCAGATAAAGGCCTAACGGGATTTGTACCAAAGGTACAAATTGAATGGAAATGAACGGATCCATGAGTAGAAACTGTTTACCGCTCTGCCAATGCATCAGACCTCTTTGTCCTCTCCCTGTTGGACAGTCCAGATCCTTCCCTACAGCAGGCAGCTCATAACGGGACTGGATGATGCTCAGCAGCAGAGAACCTTTATTCGGACATCTAACCTCCTGCTGGCTCAGGTAGATGTTTGATATCAGACTCTGGGTTAGAATTCTAGAAAGGCTCGTTTAATTTATCGAATCTTTGGCGTCTCGTTTCCCGACGGCTGTTAAAATAAAAGTCATTTTAAGGTGGAGCTCTGATTCCATCCTTTTAAAGGGTGCGTTTGATTAATCGACCAGGGACGGCTGAGGAGCACATGATTGGTTCACAGAAACATCTTTGCTTTATTTAGCATCATTACCATCAAACCTACATCTTCAGGTCATTAGGAACAAAACAAAAACCTACAAAACTTGGTTTTATTACAAAATAAAAGCACATTCTGTCAAAACATTGCTTGTTTTTTTAGTTGGAAGAATTTTAATTCATAAATCGAGGAAATAGAGAAGATAAGAAGGAATCTGTTTTTAGTTATTAGAGAGGAGTTCACCTTTTCTGTCAGGTGCTTGGCCACGCCCCTTTCTAGAGCTTTAATTCTGACAAACTGCAGGTTTTACAAAGTTTAACTTGAGAAACTCTGTTTGCATCCGCAGCTCTGAAATGTTTTCCTTTATTGTGCATTTGGTTGCATCCGTATGAACAGAAGATTCATGGGACAGCATTCCCGCTGCTGGACTGAGTGGACATGATTTGCAGCTCAGCGTTGTTTGTTTGTATCTGGGTCAGACGGCGTTCGGAGAGATCCGCTTCACGCGGCAGGCCTGGACGCCTACGGTGGGAGTTCCTTCAGCAGCGAGCTGGATGCGTGATTTATCTAAATCACAGAGCCCCCCCTCCCCGACTCCCCCAGCCCGACACCAGAGACGGGAAGAGATGGGAGTCACTGTCACGCTGTAATTCATCTCCGGTGTCAGCCAGACGCAGCACGCTCACAAATATATACAGAAATACTCACCCTGAGAGAAGCGGACCATCAAGTTCAGGATGCTGGAAAAGAAAAACGCTGATGCTTCCAATAAGAGCAGAAGATCCCGTCCTATTCCTCTTCTGGTGGAGAGGAACCGCCGGGACTCTGCCGCCGGGGTCTGAAAGCTTCTCATTAGCTGAGCTGATGGCCTGTTAGTGGCTGCTGCAGCCATTAGGAGGCCATCATGCCTCACTTACCTCATTAAACCTCCATCATGACGCTTCTAGGCTCCAACTTCCAACAAGGAGGTTCAGTTTGTTGCTGAAGCCATCGGGGTTGTCGGTTCTGGTTCCTGACGAAGTGAAAACAGTTCTGGACTCTGATGAAGACGTCTGTTAACGACCGAAACTCTGACGACATCTGCTGTAAACATGCTGTTTTAATAAGAGATAACAAGACGCCATCTCTAAAGTCGCTTTGACTCCTTTCTGCAAACTTAAAGACAAAGATGTGAGATAAAAATTTTAACTTGAAGGGTTTCACTGATTCCAATCATGAAGCAAAAAGACTAAAAGCCCTCAGCGACAGCCAGTGACTCCTGGTTCCCACCCAGAGACACCTGAAGGCTGTTACACGCTGAGAACATGAATTATTCCTGCAGATCTGGATGCAGATCTGCTGCCCGGACAGACAAACAGACAAACGTTGCCTCATCATCTCAGCTGAACACGCTTTCAGGATAACAGAGGCCTTCTTGGCTTCAGATGGTTGAGGAAGTGCATTTTTTATCTGAGGTGAGGTAAGAGAGCCGTAATCTGAACTCAGCTGCATCATCCAGCATCTATTAGAACATTTATAACAGAGTCTTCAACACAGAGAGACATTTCTAGAATCCAACCAATGAAAGCATCCCTCCAGGACGCGTTCCGATCCAGTCAGCTGGTTTATAGTGGACGTCCTGTAGGTGGCGCTTCTGATCGAAGGTCTGAAGGTTGCAGACGTTCATCTTGACCCCAGAGGAACCGTTGGTCTCTGTAGCTAAAGTCCAGTTTTTGTTTTCCAGCCCTGCAGGACTGACGGGCAGCCCCGTCATCTCAGACATCTCTCTGATTCGCCTGTCGCCCGCTGCCATGACGACCGGCGAGTCTCCGTTCAGCCAGCCCCACCCGTACGTCACGCCCCACATGGAGCACTACCTGCGCTCCGTCCACGGCAGCCCCACCCTGTCCATGATCTCCGCGGCCCGCGGACTCAGCCCAGCGGACCGTAAGTTCCCCAGTAATACCAGCATTAACCAGTTTAACCAGCAGAAACATCTGACCAGGCCAGTAAGGTGGTATTAATCAGCATCTCTACATACATATCTAAATATGAACATTTCTAAGGAAGCGAGATTTAAGGATTTTACTCAATAGAGAAGTTTTAAAAACATCAAACCAACGCTGCCATATTTATACATTTAATTCAAGGCATTAAAGGTTTATAACTTTAGAGAATATAGATTGTAGAGATCTGAACAGTTTCAGAATTATTCAGACCGTTTCAGATGGTTTCACACTGTTTTGAAATGTTTCGAGCTGTTTCACACCGTTTTGGACCAGTTTAGACTTGTTGGACCATTTTAAATCGCACCAGACCGTTACACACAGTTACTGAACGTTTCAAACCGTTTCAGATCGTTTTAGACTGTTTCACAATGTTTCAAACCTTATTGTACTGGTTGAAACTGTTTTGGATAGATTCAGACAGTCTCACACCATTTGAGATTGTTTAACACCGCTTTGGACTGGTATAGACTAGTTCTGACCATTTTGGAAAGTTTCAGACCGTTTCAGAATATTTCAGACAGCTTTGGAATGTTTCAGACCGTTTCACATGTTTTCAACTAATTTCACACTATTTCAAACCATATTGGACCAGTTTAGACTTGTCTGGACCATTTGGAATCATTTCAGATAGTTTCACACAGTTACGGAATGTTTCGAACTGTTTTAGACCATTTTGGAATGTTTCAGACCGTTTCACAGCGTTTCAAACTGTTTTGGACCGGTTTAGATTTGTTTGGACCTTTTCAGATAGTTTCACACTGTTTCAGACCGTTTCAAACCGCATTGGACTGGTTTGATGTTTTTGAACCGTTTTAGATAGTTTCACACTGTTTCAGATCGTTTCACACCGTTTTGGAATGTTACAGACTTTTTGGAATGTTTCAAGCCGTTTCAAACTGTTTAAAATTGTTTTGGACCAGTTTAGACTTATTCGGACCATTTTGAATCATTTCAGAGCGTTTCACACAGTTTCGGAACGTTTCAAACCGTTTCAGATTGTTTCAGAACATTTCAGACCGTTTCAAACCGCATTGGACTGGTTTGATGTGTTTGGACCGTTTTAGATAGTTTCAGACCGCTTCAGACCATTTCACACAGTTACATAATGTTTCAAACCATTTCTGATCGTTTTAGACAATTTCACATCGTTATGGGAAGTCTCTGACCCTTTCACACCATTTCACACCGTTTTGGACTGATTTGGAAAGTTTCAGACAGCTTTGGAATGTTTCACACCGTTTTAGATGCTTTCAAACCGTTTCGGACCGCTTCAGACTTGTTCTGACCATTTTGAATCGTTTCCGACTCTTTCACACAGTGATGAACGTTTCAAACCTTTTCAGATTGTTTCAGGCCATTTCACATTGTTTTCGACCAGTTGAGACTCGTTTGGACCGTTTTGGATTGTTTCAAACCACTTCAGACCATTTCACATCAATTTGGAACTTTTCAGACCATTTCAGATTGTTTCACACCGTCTTGGACCAGTTTAGACTTGTTCAGAACATTTAGAATCGTTTCAGACTGTTTCACACAGTAACGGAACGTTTCAAACCTTTTCAGATAATTTCAGGCGATTGTTTCAGACCGTTTCAAAGCGTTCCAACCTGTTTTTGACCGATTTAGACTTGATTGGACCATTTTGGATCGTTTCAAACTGCTTCAGATCATTTTAAATAATTTCGGAACTTTTCAGACCGTTTCACAGCGTTTTAAACCGTTTGACTGGTTTAGACTTGTTTGGACCATTTCAGATCGTTTCACATTATTTTAGAACTTTTAGGACCGTTTCAGTACGTTTCACACCTTTTCGGACCGGTTTAGACTGGTTCAGATTGTTTTGGAAAGTTTGAGACCGTTTCAAACCGTTTTGGACCGGTTTAGACTGGTTCAGATTGTTTTGGAATGTTTCAGACCGTTTCAAACCGTTTTCGACTGGTTTAGACTTGTTTGGACCATTTCAGATCGTTTCACATTATTTTAGAACTTTTAGGACCGTTTCAGTACGTTTCACACCTTTTCGGACCGGTTTAGACTGGTTCAGATTGTTTTGGAAAGTTTGAGACCGTTTCAAACCGTTTTGGACCGGTTTAGACTGGTTCAGATTGTTTTGGAATGTTTCAGACCGTTTCAAACCGTTTTCGACTGGTTTAGACTTGTTTGGACCATTTCAGATCGTTTCACATTATTTTAGAACTTTTAGGACCGTTTCAGTACGTTTCACACCTTTTCGGACCGGTTTAGACTGGTTCAGATTGTTTTGGAAAGTTTGAGACCGTTTCAAACCGTTTTGGACCGGTTTAGACTGGTTCAGATTGTTTTGGAATGTTTCAGACCGTTTCAAACCGTTTTCGACTGGTTTAGACTTGTTTGGACCATTTCAGATCGTTTCACATTATTTTAGAACTTTTAGGACCGTTTCAGTACGTTTCACACCTTTTCGGACCGGTTTAGACTGGTTCAGATTGTTTCGGAATGTTTCAGTCTCGTTAACTTTCCTCAAATAATTTTTTCTTTATAACTTCTAGTGTTTCCTTCCTCACCATCCTTTCCTCGTCTCCTCTCACAGTGGCTCATGAGCATCTGAAGGAGAGGGGTCTCTTTGGTCTTCCTCCTCCGCCCCCCCCTCCTCCTCCTCCTCCAGGGGCCGGGGCAGCAGAGTACTACCATCTGATGGCGAGCCACCGGAGCCCCTACAGCGAGCTCCTGATGCAGGGGGCGGGGGCCCCGCCGGGGGCCCACCTCTCCGACTACATCTCTCCCATTGACGGTGAGTCACGGAGCCTGCAGAGTTCATCCAGGGTTCGGTTTGTAGAACAAAGACGCCATGAATCAACGTCCCTCAGAGGGAGAGAAGCAGCATGTTTACATTTCTTCTAGCTGACTACTTCACCCAGCGGGTATGGAGCAGTCCATCTCCTCAGTCCCGCCTCCAGACGCCTTCCATAAACACAGGGGACTTATGGTGACACCTCCAGCGCGGGGCCCAGCAGGTATACTCCATCTACTGATGGCGGCTTTGATCCGACGCTTCGCTCGGCTCCTTAAAAGGGCGTAGATGTCTGAGAGGGGGGGGCTGATGGTGGCAGGAGCTCCAGCTGATGAACCGCAGACCGTTTCCTCCAGGTGACCCTCAGGTCTCCAGCAAAGGCCCGTTTCCAGATGCCTTGTTGCAGCTGGTAAAGCTGTGAATGAGTTGGCCAGCAGAGGGAACACAGCCAGCCAGACTCTGTAAAGCTGTCAGAGTCCAGGCCGCTGGCGCTGCAGCCAAAACAAACCCGGGAAGGCGGGGGTCTGGGAAGTTCTCCATAAGGAGCTGCTGTAGAGATGAATGACGGGATAAAGCTCCGGGCCCTGGGAGCCGAGGAACACTTTTATTTCCTTTAGATAAACCTTTTTTTTAATCAGCTTTGGAAATCCTTCTCTTCTGTTCAGGCCTGCATCAGGTCCATCATCCCGGAACAGCTTCGTTCGTCTGATCGTCATTCCTTCATTTTTAATCTAGATATTTCAGATCAAACTCGTTTTAAAATAAAACAAGATAATAGATGAAGGAGGAAGAGGTTGGTGGTTCCCCCCATGGAGGCACCAACTTCTACCAAACATCAGGAGATCCCAGCTTTAGCCCTGCTTCGGTCACCCTAGTGTGTTTGACTATTAAAACTTTGACTAGGCCACTTCCAAACTTTCATTTTGTACCAGTTTAGACTGGTTCAGATCGTTTTGGAATGTTTTAGACCGTTGCAAACCGTTTTGGACCGGTTTAGACTGGTTCAGATCGTTTCGGGATGTTTTAGACCGTTGCAAACCGCTTTGGACCGGTTTAGACTTCTTCGGACTGTTTCAGATTGTTTCAGACCATTTCACATCATTTTGGAACGTTTAAGACCTTTTCCCACGGTTTTGGACCGGTTTAGACTGGTTCAGATCGTTTCGGGATGTTTTAGACCGTTGCAAACCGTTTTGGACCGGTTTAGACTGGTTCAGATCGTTTCGGGATGTTTTAGACCGTTGCAAACCGCTTTGGACCGGTTTAGACTTCTTCGGACTGTTTCAGATTGTTTCAGACCATTTCACATCATTTTGGAACGTTTAAGACCTTTTCCCACGGTTTTGGACCGGTTTAGACTGGTTCAGATCGTTTTGGGATGTTTTAGACCGTTTTAAACCGTTTTGGACCGGTTTAGACTGGTTCAGATCGTTTCGGAATGTTTTAGACCGTTGCAAACCGCTTTGGACCGGTTTAGACTTCTTCGGACTGTTTCAGATTGTTTCAGACCATTTCACATCATTTCGGAACGTTTAAGACCTTTTCCCACGGTTTTGGACCGGTTTAGACTGGTTCAGATCGTTTTGGGATGTTTTAGACCGTTGCAAACCGCTTTGGACCGGTTTAGACTTCTTCGGACTGTTTCAGATTGTTTCAGACCATTTCACATCATTTCGGAACGTTTAAGACCTTTTCCCACGGTTTTGGACCGGTTTAGACTGGTTCAGATCGTTTCGGGATGTTTTAGACCGTTGCAAACCGTTTTGGACCGGTTTAGACTGGTTCAGATCGTTTCGGGATGTTTTAGACCGTTGCAAACCGCTTTGGACCGGTTTAGACTTCTTCGGACTGTTTCAGATTGTTTCAGACCATTTCACATCATTTTGGAACGTTTAAGACCTTTTCCCACGGTTTTGGACCGGTTTAGACTGGTTCAGATCGTTTTGGGATGTTTTAGACCGTTGCAAACCGCTTTGGACCGGTTTAGACTTCTTCGGACTGTTTCAGATTGTTTCAGACCATTTCACATCATTTCGGAACGTTTAAGACCTTTTCCCACGGTTTTGGACCGGTTTAGACTGGTTCAGATCGTTTCGGGATGTTTTAGACCGTTGCAAACCGCTTTGGACCGGTTTAGACTGGTTCGGACCATTTTGGATCGTTTCAGAGTGTTTTCATGAAGTTCTGAAGTTCTCCTGACTCTGTTGGAACTTCAAACTTTCCCAGGGTTGGTCTAATGGGGGCAGGAAGAAACAGCACAGCTCCAGATCATGACACTTCCACCACCATGCTTTACCAGAGTGAAGATGTTCTAGTTTGGAGTCGTCAGCCTTACAGATGATCTAAGTCAAACCTTCCAGAACATTCTGTCGTCTCCTCGCTCCGAGCATCGTCCCGTCTCTGATGATCCGGCTAAATCAACACCAGAACCAAATCACTGAATCCTGTCAGCCCTCCGTCCCCCACGGTGGCGGCTCGATAAATTACTGTGGAGAAAAGGAAGTGGTGGCAGGGTTTTCTATCGCATTAATAAACTCGTCTCCCCAGAGTCGGGAGGAAGTAGCAGAGATAAATCCGGCTGCCAGCGCTGAGCGGCGGCGGACGTAAAAACCAACACCTGATCTCTGGAATCGTCACTTCAGCTGCTTAAGTGAACAATTAGTGTCCCATGACGACAACCGCCCCCCCACCCCCGTAGACCGAGACGTCTACAGTAATAAGCAGAGACTCCCTGGAGGAACACACTATGTTCTGCAGGTTGTTTACATCATCATTTAAACGCCATACGTCCCATAATGAGCCCCGCCCCCCGGGACCAGCCATGGAGGAGACCCAGAACCGAGTGGATCCTTCAGGGAGAGCGTGTGGAATTACAACCAGTGTCAGACCAAAAGACAGAACCACAGTCAGAACCAAATCAGAACTAGAGTCAGAACTAGAGTCAGAACCAGAATCAGAACCACAGTCAGAACCAGAACCAGAATCTCAACTAGAGTCAGAACCAGAATCAGAACCAGAATCACAACTAGAGTCAGAACCAGAATCAGAACTAGAGTCAGAACTAGAGTCAGAACCAGAATCAGAACCAGAGTCAGAACCAAAATCAGAACTAGAGTCAGAACCACAGTCAGAACCAGAATCAGAACTAGAGTCAGAACTAGAGTCAGAACCAGAATCAGAACCACAGTCAGAACCAGAACCAGAACCAGAATCTCAACTAGAGTCAGAACCAGAATCAGAACCAGAATCACAACTAGAGTCAGAACCAGAATCAGAACTAGAGTCAGAACTAGAGTCAGAACCAGAATCAGAACCACAGTCAGAACCAGAGTCAGAACCAGAATCTCAACTAGAGTCAGAACCAGAATCAGAACCAGAATCACAACTAGAGTCAGAACCAGAATCAGAACTAGAGTCAGAACTAGAGTCAGAACCAGAATCAGAACCAGAGTCAGAACCAAAATCAGAACTAGAGTCAGAACCACAGTCAGAACCAGAATCAGAACTAGATTCAGAACCAGAATCTGAACTAGAATCAGAACCAGAATCAGAACTAGATTCAGAACCAGAATCTGAACTAGAATCAGAACCAGAATCAGAACTAGAGTTAGAACCACAGTCAGTACCACAATCAGAACTAAAGTCAGAACTAGAGTCAGAACCAAAATCAGACCCAAAGTCAGAACCAGAGTCAGACCCAAAGTCAGAATAAGAATCAGAACCACAGTCAGTACCAGAATCAGAACTAGAGTCGGAACTAAAGTCAGAACTAGAGTAAGAACCAGAGTCAGAACCAGAAACGGAGTCAGAACCAGAATCAGAACCAGAACCACATTCAGATCAGCATTGAGGTGGAAATGATGAGTTCAGTCTCCTCACTACAGAAGATCAGTGTTCATAGAGGCAGAGCTCCAACATGGCTTACATCTATTGGTTCTGGGATGGTACCAGTTGTCCAAACAGCCAGCGGTTTAGGTTCAGGTTGGGATTACTTCCCTCCCAGATGTAATAACCACTCTAGTTCACCATTTTCTGGTCTGTTTTGTCTGTTTGTCTAGTCTGTTGTAGTCTGTTTATCTCTGCCCGACGCTGAAACTAAAACCCTTTCTAAGTCGTCTGGTTCTGTGTTTCAGTAGAAATATGTTAATCTGCATGCTAAGCAGTTAGTTAGCGAGTCTGAAGACCCAAAGTCGGCTGAAAGTCGCCGTTTCTGGAGCTCCCTGGAAACTGGCTGATAAACTGCGGCGGACCTCACGCTCTGCAGGGAATCAGGATTTCCGTTTAAAAAGCTCGCCTCAATTTACATCTCAGAGCTGAAATCGATCCGATGCTCTGAATACATTTCCATGCAGCGCAGAATCGATTCCCCCGGTAAATTGGCCTCATTTAACATGTGAAGCGGGCCGATGTTTATCTGAGCTGATTAGGGGCGGTTATGGGGGACAGATTGATTCGTCATGCTGGATCTTAATGGGGCCAGAACATCTGGGCAGATGTCAGCACCGTGCCGCTCTGCCGGCCTTCAGACACAAACGCTTTTTGGACGTTGGAGTTGAAATCGTCTAAATCTTCTGTCATCATCAACTTTATTTATAGATCATCTGAGAAGTCACCTCAGATTAAATCTAATCTTCCTGATTTGCTATCAAGCTTTGATTTGTTTAAATTTCAAACCTTAAAGAGAAAAAAAAGCCGAATGAAGGAACAGCAGAAGAAACTGTGACGCTCGCGTTCCTGCAGGTTTACAGTTCTTTTTTTACCTCGTTATCGACTGGCTGAACCCGCTCCTCCTCGTCTCGTGTAAATTTGTGTCAGTGGGACGGATTGCAGCCAGATGTAGGTTACTGCCTCGCTACAGCGTCTCCATGAGACCTGCCCTTATTCTGCACCCGCTCTGCAGGTTGGCTTTCCCTCACTGTAAGCTTAGAGCTGCTCCTGCTGCTGTTTCTGGGCGCCTGAATGATGCAATAAATGCATCAACCTCTCGTTGCTGAGGCAACGCCTCCATCCCATGATAATAAGAGGACTGTTTGGATGGACAGAAGTCAGAACCTGGCCCTCGGACCCCTAACTAAAGGACATACGGACAGAGGGACAGAGCAAGGGTCCGATTTCCCATGAGCCAGGCTGAATTCCTGACCATGAAGAACCGTTTAGAACCTCTTTATCGTGCCAAGCTATGACTCGTCTAAACATGGCGTCCACCACCTACTGTGTCCACAGTGTCCCGCTTCTCCAGCCCCAGACTGACGCCCAGACTCAGCAGGAAGAGGGCGCTGTCCATCTCGCCGCTGTCTGATGCCAGCATCGACCTCCAGACCATGATCAGGACTTCACCGAACTCCTTGGTGGCGTACATCAACAATTCACGGTCCAGTTCAGCCGCCAGCAGCTCGTATGGACACCTGTCGGTCGGCGGACTGAGGTACTGAGACCATCTACCTACGCCATGACAGAAATCCCTTTCAGGTTTCATCTTTTCTAACATTTTTGCACTTTTATCCTGCCTCTTTCTTTCTTATGTACTAGTTGCTTTTGTTTCTTGCCTTTCTTTTTTTGTGGTTGCTTTTGTTTCTTGCCTTTCTTAGGTCCTGGTTGCTTTTGTTTCTTGCCTTTCTTAAAGGGATAGTTCGGTATTTTTGACATGAATCTGTATGGCATCCCCATCACCAGCGGCATGCAATCACACTGACTTACCCCTGGCAGCGTCCTGTGAGCAGAGTTATCGTCCAGTTTTGGTCAAGCCAAAAGTAGTCCGGCAGGTTTTTAGGAACAGCGAAATAAAACTTTTCTCTTCCCAAAACATTATGTGTTCAAAAGAGCGATATTTTTGCATCCCAAAAAGATTGTAGTGGAAAAAGTCACACGTCGTTATCAATTGGTCCTATTTTCTCTCTGTTCGTATCAGTGCGCGCCGTCATTCAGACAGCGAGCCCAACAACAGCCATGTCTCCCTCGGCGGCGGAAGGACACATAATGTTTTGGGAAGAGAAAAGTTTTATTTCGCTGTTCCTAAAAACCTGCCGGACTACTTTTGGCTTGACCAAAACTGGACGATAACTCTGCTCACAGGACGCTGCCAGGGGTAAGTCAGTGTGATTGCATGCCGCTGGTGATGGGGATGCCATACAGATTCATGTCAAAAATACCGAACTATCGCTTTAAGTGCTAGTTGCTTTTCTTTCTTGCCTTTCTTAGGTCCTAGTTGCTTTTCTTTCTTGCCTTTCTTAGGTCCTAGTTGCTTTTGTTTCTTGCCTTTCTTAGGTCCTGGTTACTTTTGTTTCTTGCCTTTCTTAGGTCCTACTTGCTTTTGTTTCTTGCCTTTATTAGGTGCTAGTTGCTTTTGTTTCTTGGCTTTCTTAGGTCCTTGCCTTTCTTAGGCCCTGGTTGCTTTTGTTTCTTTCCTTTCTTAGGCCCTAATTGCTTTTCTTTCTTGCCTTTCCCATCGCTGATATTGTCCTTTAGCTCTTTGGTTTCATCTCCACCAGTTTGTTCTTCCTCCTGTTCTCCAACACATCCCTCCCCGTCCCTTTCAATCATTTTGGCCATTTTCCTCATCGGCTCTCTTTCCTGCCTTGGTTATCAGTTTACTGGAACTTGTTTCTGTGCGGTTGTTGAGTGGATTCTTTCTCGTAATGCCAGTGAACGCTCTAATGAAGTTTGTCTTTCATTGGTTGCAGCCCGTCCTTTCCCTTCCCCCACCCCATCAACTCCATGGCCTACCAGCAGCTCCTGTCCCAGCAGCGCGGCCTCAGTGCCTTCGGCCACAATCCGCCCCTCATACACCCTCCACCCCCTTTCTCCAGCCGCCCGTCGGGCCTCAGCCTCTCCTCCCTGCCCACCTCCACCCACAACAACGACATGTCGTCCAAGGTAACGCAAAAAAGCCCCGTTTGAGGGAAAATACAGAAAATTATTTGTATTTGATTTGCAGGAATTGCAGCCATTTGTCCAAGCCTTGAATCTTGCAGCTCTGGTTACCAAATGTTTGTTCTCACTTCAAATTCTGTTTGTCCTCGTCCCTTTGATGTCAGCACCCCCCCACCCCTGAACCCAGGCTAAGTGTTATGATTTGTGGTGTAAGAGTACCACCCCACCCACCCACCTTGGGGGCAAACTCTCAGCAGGGGGGGGCGCGTGATTTCTTTCCTCCCACGCAGTTGGTTTTCATATCCTAACCTGTGATTCAGTCAGAATATAATGTGAGGGCTGAACGAGGAAATGAAAGCCTGAGGATTGAGTCAGTGTTTCTGGTAAAGCTGCTCTAAGATGGATCCCTAAAATAACAGAGTTAATCAAAGCATACAGAGAAATAAATATGAACCTTATCATATAAAATACTAAAACAGAATTATGCTTTAATTAAAGGTATAGAGGACCTTCTTTTATTTCTGGGTGGATCATCTCAATCAGTGGTCCTCCTAACTGTCAATCATGGTGATATGTTTACGTAAGGCCGTCCTACGTGCTCGTCCCGTTAGCGATCTTTTTCTGTGCACTTTCAGGCGTATCTCTGTGGTGAGCTACGGTTTAAGACGGTCATTGAAGCTCACCTTTCTCACCACGGTTCTTTGAAAAAAGGCCAGAGGGTCGGAAGAGAAAAAGTGTCTACGAAGTTTACGAGAAGAAAAGAAAGGACGCAGAAGAGGCAGATATATCCCAGAATTGTGGCTCTTAATGTTGGTGTTTGAGAGAAACAGGAACACATTGGTGGAAAAATGGTGGAATTTAGCGACTTTTTCCGTCCCTGAGGGTCCCTGCTGATGATGCTTGATTACTGGAAGAGCAGAAGGTGATTAAAACCAGAAAGCTAGTCTCTAAAACAGACATGGCTACGGCTGGATGCTAACATGTTTGTTAGCTGTCAGAATTCACCCAGAATTCTGAGATTAAAGTCAGAATTCTGACTTTTTTCCCATATTAAACTGAAATATTTTAAAATCTCTTAACTTTTTAAGTATTTTATTCAGTGGCCCTAATCCTCTTCCGTACGTGTCTTTTAAAACATTTGCAAAAATCCTCCCCTATACCTTTAAAGACTTTTTTTCTTTAAATAATGACAGATTGGAGACATTGAAATTACGGAAGAATCTGTCATTAAGCAAAGAGTTCAGGAGCTTAATTACTGAAGCAGGAATGGAAGAATAAAGGCCTCCACAAACTCCTGTGTCTGCAAACGTCTGCATGGACTCTAGACTCTGCACAGACAAGTAAGCGCGAAGCTAAGTTATCATGGTTACCGTTACCGGTTACTATGGTTTCAAAAAGGGTAAATGGGGCTTCTGTTGGTAGAGTGGTCTTTGCTTCTTCCCGGCTAACAATCATTTAAAGCAAATTTTTAACGTCGGAGGGAAGCGGCTGTTTGAACTGCCGCAGTTCTGAATTCTCCCGAGTGGTGCCCGACTTTGAACGAGTGAATAAAGTGAATGTGATTGGTCGATTATCAAGGGGGCGGGATTGTTGTGGTGGAAGGTTCGCAAGCATGTTTCGGTGTGGCCGGTTTGTCGTAAGCATCATGCTAACCAGTTAGCAACTTAGTTCTAGCAGGTTCCCAATGGGAAATTCCATTGGGACCAAGTAGCACTAAATTGGTGACTTAGAAACGACGCTGTCAAGGAACGCTATGGACAGCGGAAACATGCAAGAGGAGGAGAGTTTAGTGTCGGAGGTCGTGGATGAGTCTCCTCCGTCATCCATTTTTTATTTAGAGGAGGAAAGCGGGGACGAAGATGTTGTGGAAGAGGACGCCAGGGCGGCAGAAGCTTGGTTTGGTGTAGAAGGCTTCCAGCCGTACATGTTTGAGCCCTTGCCTCGCAACGCTGCCAGTTCTGTTAGCTCTACGCCTGCCGAAGACACGGACGTCCATCCCCGTGAACACTGGGACGCAACTCAATGGGAAAGGAAAGGATTCTGATTTCAACCGTTGCGTATATTAGCTGCGACACATGAATCAAGATGCTATGACCGAAAACATTTGATGACCGCTGATATATGATTGGCCGAATTTAGGTGTTCAGGCTGACGGAGAACTAACTGTGTGTTTCTTACCGTTTCTTAGTCAATCCGTTGTGTCGTACCTCACCAGGTATTCAACAGGTTTTAAGTTTTAGCAAATGCTAAAGACGTTTAAACCTTCTGCATCTGGGGAGGCAGACTTCTGCTGCTCTGCAGTTATGGTCAGACCGTCCAGATGTTTATGGGTCATTTCACAGCCTTTATACAATGAGGTAATGTAATCTATTCTGGCTCTATGGAAACGGTTGTCATGGAAATAATGCATAGTGTTGCATATCTAGTTCTTCAATCATGATGCCATGAAGAAACAGCAAATTAAAGAGGCTGTAAAGACGGATTAGACGATTAAAAGGTGAGATTATCAATGGTTGGTTCAAACATCAGACGGGTTCACAGATGTGGAGATACTGAATTATGCTGCTCGGGTGTAACTGGGGGTGAAACATGGGAGGTCTAAGGTGGAAAGGATCATTTTCTCCAATCTAAATATTTGATTGAAACTACCAAGTTGGAGTCATTGTTGGTTTGAGTTTGTTGTTCTTCGTCAAACACAGACAGACGGGTCATCTTAGGTAACGTTATACAGTCGGTTCTCTCATTCTGTGGAGGATGTTTTAACTCCACAGCTTCCAGTTAAAGGGAAGCTTCCAGTCAGTGCACTCCCTGGTGAGGATGGAGGTTATACTGGGAGCTATGGTGAAGGAGGAAGACTTAACCTGGCACTGGTTTACCTTAGAGGCAGGAAGTCACCGCCACTATTCAGCAGACTGTGGTTGGAACTGGTCAGTGTTAGCTGGAACCAGTGTTCCCAGTGTTCCCAGCCTCAATGAGGCATTACAGCTACCACCAAACCAACACCATCAATCTCTTGGACCTTTGCCAATACCTGAGGGACAGTTGGGGTTAAAATTCCCAGTAGATCAACCATTTCTGAATAAAACAAAACGGACCATCATCTACTGTAGCATCGTTAGCAAGCCGTCTTCTAACGAAATGGTTAGCTTGGACAGAGTTACAGGCTAATGTTCAGTAAGTCTGAAATGTTCTCTGGGAGTTGATGGATTGTAGGAAGAGTTGCCATAAATGCATAAAACGGCCCTGAAGCTACTAAATGCTAATAAACGAGTGAAACCGTGCGGCCCACAGAGCGAACTCTGACCCCTCCTCTGAACGCGTATTCTGGACGGCGGGTGGAAAGGGCGACACACGTGATCAGATTGCATCATCATTCCTCTCAGACAATCCGGTTTACTCAAAGTGAGACTTAATTTAATCCTAGATTTACTTCATGGGATCTGAAACCACGGTGCGAATATTCTCAACATTAGCTTCATCTCACCGATGCGTAGCCGGGCGACTCGTACCAGAGATCAACACGGAGGAAGGTGCGTCTCGCTCCGATGAATGTTTTAAACATTTAAAGGGCTTTTTAATTTTATCTGATATTGAAAATGGAAGAACTAAGGAAGGAACGCATTCCTAGCTCTTTTAATCGTGTGAAGGACTGAGTGGGTTTGGTCAACATGTTCATTGAGTTACGATCTTGGCGAGATCAGTTAACAGTACCGAGTTAAAATGAGTTAGCGAGCCAAAGTTGGGCGTACACTGTACAATTTTTTCAATCTTTGCACGCAGCTACAACTTAAACTGTACCATGAATCCGCAGGGTTTAAAAGTTCCAAGCTCACGACGTTTGTTCTCACACTGTGCGACCCGACGCTCTGATGCGATCTACCTGCTCACACTGAACGTCTAAAAACCATGTCGGACTCAACGAGTCGGCGCTACTCGAAAAGGGTAAAAAATTCATACAGTTTTTGCGTTGCTGAAGTTAACTAATATAAAAACCCACTGATCTTTTCAGGTAAGTTGGTGGAAGAAGTCGGATTCAAACTCAGACCTCCTCCTACCCGATAGCAAATTTTCTAGAACTTGACAGAATGCACGTTCCTCCTGTGTGTGCTTTAAAAAAATTAGTTACTCATTAACTGGAGTATAGAAGCTCTGAAACGTGCGACTCACTTAGTACGACAGAGTATTAGGGCCAGGCTAGAGATTTATTTATTTTATTTTGTTTCAAGAATGAAGTCGTTATATTAACGAGAATAAAGTCATCAAACATCAACCCGTTTCAGAAAGAAAGCTTGGAGCTCCGCCCAGCAGATGACATCAGACCAGCTCCACCAATCAGCAACCAGAGTCCACTTTGACATCCTGCCCAGTTTGATGCTGCTGCTAAAAGATTTCCTGATTTGTCAAACCGATGCTAAAGTAGAACTTCCCATGATGCTCCACATTACTCATTTTAGGGAAGGAAGGGATTCTGGGAAGAGTTGTTATAAAATATAACTTTATTCTCATATGTTACAACTTTATTCTCGTTATTTTACGACTTTATTCTCGTTATTTTACGACTTCATTCTCGTTATTTTACGACTTCATTCTCGTTATTTTACGACTTCATTCTCGTTATTTTACGACTTTACTCTCGCAATTTGACGACTTTATTCTCGCAATTTGACGACTTTATTCTCGTCATTTGACGACTTTATTCTCGTCATTTGACGACTTTATTCTCGTCATTTGACGACTTTATTCTCGTCATTTGACGACTTTATTCTCGTCATTTTACGACTTTATTCTCGTCATTTTACGACTTTATTCTCGTCATTTTACGACTTTATTCTCGTCATTTTACGACTTCATTCTCGTCATTTTACGACTTCATTCTCGTTATTTTACGACTTTACTGTCATAATGTTACGACTTTGTCACAATTTTTACGACTTTATTCTCGCAATGTTACGACTTTCTTCTCGCAATTTTACAACTTCATTCTCGTAATTTTACGACATTCTCAAAATGTTACGACTTATTCTCGCAATGTTACAACTTACTTATTCTCGCAATGTTACGACTTATCCTCGCAATGTTACGACTTTATTCTTGCAATGTTACGACTTATTCTTGCAATGTTATGACTCACTTATTCTCGCAATGTTACCACTTATTCTCGCAATGTTAAGACTTATTCTCGCAATGTTACGACTTACTTATTCTCGCAATGTTACGACTTTATTCTCGCAATGTTACGACTTTGTCGCAATTTTACGACTTTATTGTCGTAATTTCACGACTTTATTCTCGCAAAGTTACGACTTTATTCTCGCAAAGTTACGACTTTATTCTGGTAATTTTACGACTTTATTCTGGTAATTTTATGACTTTATTCTTGATATTTATATATTGATATTTCCAGGTAAGTTGGTGGAAGTGGTGGGATTGGAACTCTGCCCCCCAGCAGACCTCCTGACAGAACGCCCGTTCCTCCTGTCTCTTCTTTAAAAATGGATTTTCTTGCGTTTTCTCTTCTCAGAACCACGGAGGAGATTCTGCCGTCAGCAGCTCGGTGGATCCCATCAGCAAACGCTCTAAAGTGAAGGCGGAGCTGGACGGACTGAAGCCGGGATCTCCGCAGTCACCGGTAGGAAGGAGAGAACTCCCCTATTGGTCAATCCTCTGGGCGGCGTCGCCAGGTTTACCTTTAGACGGCGTTTAGGACGGCGCTGATCCTCTGCGGCACCTGGCCCCCAGGAGCCACAGCCTTTGGTGACCTCCATGTAGAGCTGGTCTCCGATAAGAAAAAACTTCACATGATAAGAGCTTTGCATCCATTTGTTTACACCCCCCCCCCGGTAAACTGTGCCAGAGCACTTCATTTCCATGAAATATTGGCCCGGCTTTATTGTCATCTGAGGAGACTTTTTCTTCTTCTTTTGACAAATTTGCGGCCGCTCTCCGGCAGCGAGGCAGCTTTGGTGGTGATGCATGGGGACGGCGCCGAGCGCAGTCGTCTGGGGGCCACCAGAATTGATGAAGAGGGGAGCGTGTGTGGGGCAGAAACAAACACGCCGCCGTCAGCACATTGTGTTCCCGTGTGTAGCTGCAGAGGAGCCGTACGGGAACCCTAATGGGACAAACTGCGCCGCCGTGTTCAGACACTGCGGACAGGATTTTAAAAAAAAAGGAAAGAAACAATAGAGACCGTTTCTTTTTTTAGAAAGTTAAAAAAAGTTACATTTTTGCACCAAAACCAGAGAAAAAAAAACAATTTTCTTCATTATCCGAGAAGAATTTTAAAGTTTTTTTAATAGAAGAAAATGTTTAAAAATGTTAGACTTTTAGTAAAGATTTTATTACAGTCTATTGAAGATGTCTGGTTATTAAATACCGTCACAATTTAAACTGCTTTAAATGATTTATTCAGTTTATAAAAACCTGTTTGGTTTTTTTCCTTTCAGAGGGAAAAAAATGCATTATTTAAATATTTTAATAGTTTATTAAACTTGTTTAGAAACAGCTGTTGTTCCTCTGAACGCCTCTAATAAAGTTGTTTTTTTTTCCTGTTTGCCAGAGAAATAAAAACCTTAAAATGTCTGCAGGACTTTGCTGCAGCCTCCGTCCGTCTTGCAGAACCTCAGTTGCAAGATTTCTGCGTTTGGTTTATTTGCATCGCGTCGCCAAATTATAAAGCGCTTGCAGTCCTAAACTAAAGTCCCAGTGTGTTTATTTGCATGATCCAAACAAAGGTTTAACCTTCCCTGGAGCGCCGCAGAGATGCTTCCAGCTCAATCTGTAATTTAGAGGAGCCTGCAGCTCACGGCTGAAGGTGGCGGCTCCTCTGCTTCAGGGAAATCTTTAACACATGCTGGGCCTTCCTTTTTTTTTTGCAGAACCGTTACGGCGCCGTGCACGACCTGAAGGAGGACACGGACCGGGACGAGTGCAAGCAGGAGCCCGAGGCCGTTTATGAAACCAACTGTCACTGGGAGGGCTGCAGCAAGGAGTACGACAGCCAGGAGCAGCTGGTGCATGTAGGTCCATGCATGTTCTAGGGAGGAGAGAAGGAGCGTTTTCCCATCATAGTGAGAGCTCTGCAGCATTCCTCAGCTTCACTGAAGCAGAGAGAGAAAAGAAGCAGCAGAGTGAGGGGGATTATGGGGGCCCCGGGGGGCCGCAGAGAAGCAGCCATCAGATTCCTTTCTCTCCTTCTTCAGTTTAATAATTACAAAATAAGAAGAATTTGATGTTTTTCTCATCTGCTTCTACTGAGGATCCTTCCATCTCTAAACATCCAAGTTAATTCAAATCTATTCAGTTTATTTCTATAGCTCCAATTCCCATCATGTCATCTCAGGTCACTTTCCAGTTCACCAGATCATCCAGTCAGATTGATTCAAAGTTTTCTATCTAAGGAAAACCAGCTGATTGCATCGACTCATTGACTCTTCAGCAATCCCTCACACTAAGCATGCTTGTAGCGACAGTGGAGAGGAAAAACTCCCTTTGAACAGGAAGAAACCTCCAGCAGAACCAGGCTCAGTGTGAGCGACCATCTGCTGAGGCCCACTGGGGTTCAAGGAGACAGAAGCAGACATAGAAAAAGAAGCATAGATACAAAAGGCAACATAACAGATTCTGCAGAGTGGGAGAATAGAGATAGAATGAAGCAGAATGATGAAAAAGGGGTCCCTATGTCCTCCAGCAGTCTAAGCCTATAGCAGCAGAACTATAGAGATAGATCAGGATAACCTGAGCCACTCTAACTAGAAGCTCTATCAAAAAGGAAAGTTTTAAGCATAGCCTTAAAGTTGGTGATTAACTATGTACAGGGCACTCAGTGAAATACTTAAAATCAAAATTTTAAGCCATTAGTGTTACTGGAATCCAACAAAAAACAATTTTGTTTTGGGTACAACATCACCTTACAGCAGAGGTTTGCAACCTGCGGCTCCAGAGCCACATGTGGCTCCTTGGATCCTCTCCGGCGGCTCTTAAGATGTATATAAAGAGCTAAATAATATACTCTAATAAATACCAGCATTAAAAGCTTTTTTTATTTTAATAAGATGGAAAAGAATGATATTAAAATAACCAGAAATATGTTTTTAGAGCATCTTTCTTTGAATTAGGGTGGAAATTATGTGTTTTAATATTATTTTACAAGCTAAAAATACATAAATTTCCTTTACCAGCTAATAAAAAAATATATATATTTATTTTTTTTTAAGTCATGTTATATTTTGCGGCTCTAAAAAACTTGGACTTGGTTGTACTCGAAGCAAAATGACTCCTTGGATATGAAAGGTTGCAGACCCCTGCCTTAGAGGCATTAATGCTGATACTGGCACTTACATTTTTAATTTATAAACCTAAATATAAATGTTAACTTTATTCTCTTAATTTTATTACTTTATTTGTCAGGTTGGGAGGTTTTGAGGAGCCAAATGCACAGATGAGTTATCGATGATTGATGAAAGTCCAAGGGGAAAAGAGGCAAAAATACAAAAAAAGCAAACAAACACCAATAAAGATCAGTGAAAATACTGGAAGGAAGCAAAAGACTAGAAAGCTATGAAACAACATCAACAACACGAGAAACCAGCACTGAGTGACGCTCTGCTGATCTTTAAAGCTCAGCACTCTGATGAGAAAGATTATCTTCACCTTTATAGGCGACCCAGGTTCCCCCCAAAGATCCTCTAATGCAGAGATGCATCACTCGCACTCACTGACACACAGGAACCCTGACATTACTCTAGTAATGTTACAGCTTTATTCTCGTAACTTTATGACTTTGTTCTCATAATTATATGACTTTATTCTCGTAATATTAAGACCTTATTGTCGAAAAAGAAAAGAATTAGGGGTATGCAATGGATCAAAAACACTAACTTTCCCTATAAAGGGCTAAAGATCAGAACAAATCAAATATTAGAACGTCTCTAATCACTCGATGATCCGCCTCTGATCTTTGCTGGAAAGCCTCCCTGATGACTTTAGAGAAACTCCAGTTCTGCTTTTATATTTATTCTCAAATCATCAGAAAACATCTTATTGTTCTTGTTCTCCATCAGAGCTCTGACCTCTCTTAAAGGGATAGCATCGTTATTCTGAAACCTTCGCCTCAAACAGGGTGAAGAAACTAACAACACTTCCAGATTGTTCCTATAACACCAGGAATGCAAGTTGACAGCAGCTGCACTATGATATATAAAATCCAGCATGTTTAAAAGGATTTTTAAAGGAACTATCTGATTTATTTCACATCTAGATCAATTGTTTACATTTTTTTATTGGTTTTAATTTTTAGAAAAATAAAACTAGACTAAAGAGGTTAGATTCATGTATAATTAGTTTTTCCATTCTCAGTTGACTCCAGGCTCTGATTGGTCCAAATCGTTTCAAATGTATCCTCTAATGAATTCCTGCATAAAGGAACCAGGTTCTGCTGGAGGTTTCTTCCTGTTCAAAGGGAGTTTTTCCTCTCCACTGTCGCTACAAGCATGCTTAGTGTGAGGGATTGCTGAAGAGTCAATGAGTCGATGCAATCAGCTGGTTTTCCTTAGATAGAAAACTTTGAATCAATCTGACTGGATGATCTGGTGAACTGGAAAGTGACCTGAGATGACATGATGTGAATGGGAGCTATAGAAATAAACTGGATAGAATTGAATTTTGGATTTGATGTTAACTTTGATTTATTTGAGAAAAGTTAAAGAAACTCTGAGCAACAGAAGTTCCCAATAAAAGCTCCAAACTTTCTACGCCGTCAGATTTTAGCAAAGGAGAGTTTTTAATTAGCAGGACTGATCTGATACAGAGCAACATGAGAAGTCCTCATTTCTTCCTGACTTTGTGTCCCTCAGCACATCAATAACGACCACATCCACGGAGAGAAGAAGGAGTTCGTGTGCCGCTGGGACGACTGTTCGCGGGAGCAGAAGCCCTTCAAAGCTCAGTACATGCTGGTGGTTCACATGCGCCGGCACACCGGGGAGAAGCCGCACAAGTGCACGGTGGGTAGCTGATTACTCCCGGACGAGCCCCCAACGAGTCCCTGGGGGGGGATCAGTGCCTTAAATCCTGCTAGAAACTCCAACATGGGGTTTAAAGCTAATAAACAGCATGGCTGAACCCCCCCCCCCCCCCTGCATTTTTATTACAACTGGGCATCAATCCATTTTATCCTCGTGTATAAGGCTGAAACTATTTATCATGACTAATTGATTATTGAAAGACTGAACTAATTTAGTTAATCGCTAACTGGAGTAAAAAGGTTCTGAAACGCGCCTTTAGCTGACAAACCAATAAGGCTAGCAAATAGGCTACCCAGGTTCTCCCCAAAGATCCTTTCTGGAAGGGACGCATCACTCGCACTCACACACAGGAACCCTGACATTACTCTAGTAACGTTATGACTTTATTCTCGTCATTTTCCGACTTTATTCTCGTCATTTTCCGACTTTATTCTCGTCATTTTAAGACTTTATTCTCGTCATTTTAAGACTTTATGCTCGTCATGATACGACTTTATTCTCGTCATGTTGCGACTTTATTCTCGTCATGTTGCGACTTTATTCTCGTCATGTTGCGACTTTATTCTCGTCATTTTCCGACTTTATTCTCGTAATTTTCCGATTTTATTCTCGTCATTTTCCGACTTTATTCTCGTCATTTTCCGACTTTATTCTCGTCATTTTCCGACTTTATTCTCGTCATTTTCCGACTTTATTCTTGTCATGTTACGACTTTATTCTCGTCATGTTACGACTTTATTCTCGTCATTTTCCGACTTTATTCTCGTCATTTTCCGACTTTATTCTCGTCATGTTAAGACTTTATTCTCGTCATGTTAAGACTTTATTCTCGTCATTTTCCGACTTTATTCTCGTCATTTTCCGACTTTATTCTCATCATTTTCCGACTTTATTCTCGTCATGTTACGACTTTATTCTCGTCATATTCCGACTTTATTCTCGTCATGTTACGACTTTATTCTCGTCATATTCCGACTTTATTCTCGTCATTTTCCGACTTTATTCTCGTCATTTTCCGACGTTATTCTCGTCATGTTACGACTTTATTCTCGTCATATTCCGACTTTATTCTCGTCATTTTCCGACTTTATTCTCGTAATTTTATGACTTTCTTTTTGCAATTTTACGACTTTATTCTCGTAATATTAAGACTTTATTGCTGAAATAGAAAAAAAAACTCTCTAGCCTGGCCCTGATACTCCGTTGTAACTTAGAGCAGGAATTAGACCAAGATTGTAAAAAATATATAAATGTTTTTCTTTTAAGATTAAAAATAAGTTCTTGTCCGTCAGTCCGCTCTATCCAGAACTCCTCAAGTGGAAATTTTTTTATTTCATCTGATTTAATTTAGTAAAAAGTCTCCTTTAAGGAACCTTTGGCTGTGTGATTAATAATTGAAACAATAATCCACAGATTAAACTATTTGCAAGATAATCTTTAGTTGGAGTCCCACTTGTGACGTAACCATGGCAACCTGGTTTATTTGATCATCTTCAGGTTGCCAATTAATCATGCAGAAAAAAATTAATGAAAAGTAAAAGAATTGATTTTCCTATAATTTTAGAAAACATTTTCAGTTTGAATCATTTTTAGTTTACTAAAAAAAAAAACATCTTTTAGGCTGGAACCAAAAGGATCCGATCATATTGGAAGCAGATTTCTACATAAATGTGTCTGAATTTGACAGGAAGTCAGTATTTTAAAACGTCTCTTTTTTTATAGTGGATGTTTTTTAAGAGCAGAACAAACATGAAGCCAGAGGTAATTGGCCTCTGGAATCATGGCGGACGCCTAACGAGGTAAATAAAGAGGCTGGAAAACAGAATATTTAATCCTTCTCCCAGAAAATAATGTCAATTATTTAAACAGCAGTTGTTGTTTGTTGTTTGTTGGATGAAAAGGGAAGAAATGGGCGAACGGATTCATGTCTGATCTTTGGTCTTGCCGATCCCTCGCCTCATTGTTCCCGCAGAGAAAACATGAAAAACAGACCAGATAAACATTCTGCTGGTTCCCCTCCATCAAACGGGTCTAAAAATGTTTCCTTCATCCGAACCTTGAATATTTAACGGCAGAACCGGATTTAACCGGCTCCTCCTTCCCCTGCAGTTCGAGGGCTGCTCCAAGGCCTACTCCCGCCTGGAGAACCTGAAGACCCACCTGCGCTCTCACACCGGGGAGAAACCGTATGTCTGCGAGCACGAGGGATGCAATAAGGCGTTCTCCAATGCGTCAGATCGAGCCAAGCACCAGAACCGGACTCACTCCAACGAGGTAAAGGCGGTTTGAGTTCACACAGAATTCCTAATTTCTTCCAGAGGAGCTGAAGTTCAGGAAATGCTGTTCATCCGTATGACCTGAAAGTTCGGATCAGAACCACAGTTAGAGTTCACATCTGTCAGCTCTCAGTGACATCATCAGTATTAATTCTCCCAGAGTACGCCTATAGATAACGTCCCACAATGCATCAGCGCCCGTTCTGCTCTCTACCTGCAGCTGTCGCTTCACAAATCCAACATTATTAATAAAATCTTCCAAATTTGGTCGAGAATCAAACTGATTTTCAGCACATCGATTATTTCTTGGTTTTGGGTAAAAAAATCTAATCTGGATGATTTATCCAAATGTTTAATGATAAAGAACCATCCACCCCATCGCTACTAACGATACCAGCAGAGCAACATTGTTGATTACTTCCTGGACGTTGATGAGGCCTTTCAGTTACCTCGTTTTCTTCCCCAGTCTGGGTCAGTCTGCTGCTACCGAACAGATTAGCTGTAATACTTTGGTTTTAGGTGCAAAAGCAGAGCATGCGCCACAGTCCTATGGCTGCAAAGTAATGCTACGTTCAGACCGAACGCGATGGAAGCAGCAAAAGCAGCTGGTTTACATGCAAAGTCGATGGTTGATGCGCATCAAAAGGTCCTGCAGCGCGTCTAGAGCAGTGGGAGCGGCCCATCTTGACGCATCTGAGGCGTTTGACGCCACATCCACCAATGAGAGAAGCTGATCTGGGAGCTGGCAGGGAGTCAGACGCAGCACTGCTGATGCAGAGGGCTATGATCACTCCTCTGAAACAGTTTATTAACGCCTAAATTAACTTAAAATCTAGAAACCTGCCGGCAGAATATGTTGGCTTTTATTATATTGGTGCCTGCAGTTTGGATTACGTACATTAAAAAATCGCTAACATCTCCTTCCAGCTGCGAACAGTAGGGGAAAACCCCCAAGGGCGTCCAGGTCTGAGGCAGCTGCTGCTGGGGATTCCCAGTTACCCGCTGATCACAGCTAATATAGCAAGGCTGCTCTCTGCATTGAACACAGGAGCAGCAGAAGCATCTGGACTCACTTTACTGGACGGCTGACCTTAATGAGGATCAAAAATGACGCAGTAAAACGTTCTTTGCTACTTCCATCACTTGCGGTCTTAACGTAGCATTAGACCAATTCATCACACTTTCACCTCCGATCTCTGCAGATACGGGGAGTTTCTGCTGATTGTTTTGTTTTTCCAAACAGCCACATTTGTTCAGGCTATGTTTGACCTGTGAACAATGATTACTTTAACCTGACCCCGCCAGATGGATTTGCTCCACATATCCATCTGGAAACCTTCAGTTGAAGTAATTTTGGGAAGGGGCGAAAATACTGGTTAGCTTATTGGCCTATGTTGGTGATAGACGGGCCAAATAAACCAATCAGAACGAAGCATATGACGTACTAACAGAGCGACGACGAAGAGGAGCCAATTGATAGATCAAACTCTTGCTGAAACCAGTCGGGAGAAGAGCAAAAACATCTTTTCCTCTGAGAAAAGCCTCCAGAGCAGTGTTTTGCTCTTCTTTCAGTGAAGAAATACTCTGTAATTCCCATAAAACTTGCACGATAGCCACGCTAACGCTAGTTTCATCGGCTGAAGCCGCCATGTTCTTTAGACTGAACTGTGGCGCTTCTCGTTGCGTCACACCTCAACCTGCCTCAAAGCCAACGCTGATTGGACGTTCGTTTGGTGAACGGCTCCAAATTTTCTTTAACGGAGAGTCTCCAGACTGATCTGCGAGTGAAACCTTGAAAGCTCGCGAGATCAGGACGGTCTCACGAGGCTATGATTACTTCAGTAGGATTATATAATCAAGTATTTTCCTGCTGACTCATCCGGTTGACTCTCAGGTAACTGAAGCCACTAAAGAAGTGTGTCAGCGTCTCTGTTTTCCATCTGTACCAACAGAAACCGTACGTTTGCAAGATCCCGGGCTGTACCAAACGCTACACGGACCCCAGCTCGCTCAGGAAGCACGTGAAAACGGTTCATGGCCCAGAGGCCCACATCACCAAGAAGCAACGCGGCGACCCGCCGCCCAGGCCGCCAGTGCCCAGGGAGAACGGAGAGAACGAGAAAGGCGGTCAGCTCCACAGGGAGGACAAGCTGTCAGAGAACGGCTCCCCCAGAGTCCCGGAGGACTACCTGCACGTTAAATCCATCAAGACGGAAAACTCAGTGGTGAGAACAAATGGTCTGAGATATTCGATTCGATTTGAATCAACTCTTTGTTCCGCAAACCGATGCAGTTTACTAAACCAGCATGCAGTTTGTTTCTTTGATTCTCTGCTTGATGGTTTCCATCTCTTTCTCCTTCCATCCTTTCCTACTGGACAGACTTTACTAAGGTGAGCTAACCTATAGATCCACATCATCATGACCATTTCATCCCATATTTAACACATTTCACTCAGAAATCACTCCATCAACACTCAGTTGGTCGTCTTAGTCTGGGTCACCAGGGTATCTGGTCTAGGAACGTTCTCCTGGTGTTCCCAAACCCAGAGGCAGTTAGAGACCCTCTAGGAAGCCATAAGTGTGTCCTGGGATCTTCACCTTTAAATTCCAGGAGTCAAGGACCAGCTCTATCCTGAGCCGCCTCCATCTCTACCAACATGTCAGCCAATCGGATCCAGGATCTCGATGTTTTGGCACACCTCAGACACTATCCCGGACACCGTGCAGGACGCTAGTTTCTCTGTTGGTTTGCACCCAAAGCCAAAACACACAGCGCGGCCAGTCTTTGGGGAACACTCACGGGTGAACCGTGTTTCGTCCGGCGTTGGATGAAGGGTTGTAGACGCCGAACAAACTGGTCAGACTGACACACGGACACCCACAGTCCTAGCTAGTTGGTGGTTGTCCCTCTTGTGTTCTGGCATGGAATAACATATAGTATTAGCCATTCAAAATTTCCCCACTTTTCTTGATGGGTTCTTTGCTAGTCCTTGGCTGGTTCTTTGCTGGTCCTTGGCTAGTTCTTTGCTGGTCCTTGGCTAGTTCTTTACTGGTCCTTGGCTAGTTCTTTACTAGTCCTTGGCTAGTTCTTTACTAGTCCTTGGCTGGTCCTTGGCTGGTTCTTTGCTGGTCCTTGGCTAGTTATTTGCTAGTCCTTGGCTAGTTCTTTACTAGTCCTTGGCTGGTCCTTGGCTGGTTCTTTGCTGGTCCTTGGCTAGTTATTTGCTAGTCCTTGGCTGGTTCTTTGATAGTCCTTGGCTGGTTCTTTGCTAGTCCTTGGCTAGTTCTTTGCTGATCCTTGGCTGGTCCTTGGCTAGTTCTTTGCTAGACCTTGGCTAGTTCTTTGCTGATCCTTGGCTGGTCCTTGGCTGGTTCTTTGCTGGTCCTTGGCTAGTTCTTTGCTGGTCCTTGGCTGGTTCTTTGCTGGTCCTTGGCTAGTTATTTGCTAGTCCTTGGCTAGTTCTTTACTAGTCCTTGGCTGGTCCTTGGCTGGTTCTTTGCTGGTCCTTGGCTAGTTATTTGCTAGTCCTTGGCTGGTTCTTTGATAGTCCTTGGCTGGTTCTTTGATAGTCCTTGGCTGGTTCTTTGCTAGTCCTTGGCTAGTTCTTTGCTGATCCTTGGCTGGTCCTTGGCTGGTTCTTTGCTGGTCCTTGGCTAGTTCTTTGCTAGACCTTGGCTAGTTCTTTGCTGATCCTTGGCTGGTTCTTGGCTGGTCCTTGGCTGGTCCTTGGCTGGTTCTTTGCTGGTCCTTGGCTGGTCCTTGGCTGGTTCTTGGCTGGTTCTTTGCTGGTCCTTGGCTGGTCCTTGGCTAGTCCCCTATGATTCCTTATTAAACATCTAAAATACTCTGTCCTGATTTGTGGACATTAAGACCTAAAGAGAAGCGCCATCTCCTGGTCAGACCTTGTAATTCAGTGAGAGGTTGGAGTCAGAGTAAATATGCTTGCCCTGGAGAAGGCCAGCGGTGGGAACTTGTAGGGGATATTGCTGCCATTCGGTGGCTTTTGACTGGTAAAGGCCATTTTGAATGGCTGCTACTGTAGCGCAGACCATGCTTCAAAATTGGTCATAAATCAAAAATACTTGCATCAAGCTAACTGCGACACAATGCTGCAGGAGGATAACCAGCCCTTTAGTCTCCAGTTGGAAGCTTGGACTTTCACTGCCTTGCTCAGGGGAACTGGAATCAGACCCATAACTGTTGCTAGAACAACTGTTCATGCCTATATGGCTGCGATCCCGTGTAGGACAGACCCAGCGGCGGATTGCTCCAGGAAATTAGCAACGCCTCTGTTAGCGTCTCTGTGTGCAAAGCAACAGTTTGACTTTGTGCAGAAAGTACTGATGTGGATTAAAGCTAAATATTCACATCATCCATGCATTGTTATTGTTTCCCATGTAGAAGAGGGTCAGGACTCCTTTAACCAGACCAAGTCCCTGCCTCCTACAGGTCTCTTTCTTCTAATCCTTTATATCCAGCTGATAAAGGTCTGTGTTTCACCCAGAAATTCATTTTAAATAAAGAATTTCTTTTTTATAAAGAGCTTTTAATGTGTTTTAGGGCAGCAGGAAGTTAAAGTGTCGTCTTTTCCATCCATCACTCATCCAAGTTTACTAATTCCTGCTAACGACGGCCTTGGTTCTCCGAAAATGAAAAACCTCACAAATAAAAAAGCAGATGTGTGTTTAGAAAGAACAGAGCCGATGAGATCAGCGGCGTTAGAGTAAAACCTGAGAGCGAAGCGAGGCCTTGAAGCTCCAGAAGCTTCCAGCCTCGCCGTGGAGGGTTGGCTTTAACCATCTCATGGTGATTGCCCCGCTCCTTTCATCCTGGACATTTTTAATTCACAGACAGACTCAGAGAGCCTGTAATCTGCGGAGCCCCCACCACTCCCACCCCAGAAAACACTCATTATTTACAATTAAGCCGGGGGAGGATAAAAGGCCGGGTGATTCACTCCTCAACATGCCGCATTACCCACTCTTCCACTGTTGTTTTGCAAAAGGAAAACAGTTTTTAGGACAAGATGTTCCCGTTTCCTCCAGCCTCTCTAATTCCCTGCCTCCCCCCCCCCTAGATGTATCAGTCCAGTCCTGGCGGTCAGTCATCGTGTAGCAGCGAACCATCACCGCTTGGCACCAACAATGACAGTGGAGTAGAAACGGCGGCGCACAGCGGGGGAAGCCTGGGGGACCTCAGCACCCTGGACGACCTGCCGTTCGTGGACTCGCTGGGATTCGAGGACTCCTCCGGTGGGGGTGCAGCGGTGGGCCTCCATCTAAGAAAGCAGCTGAGCACCAGCCAGTGCCTGGAGAACCTGAAGAAGGAGAAACTGAAGGCCGTGAGGGACTCATGTTGGTGGGCTAGCAACCCAACGCCCGCTGGCCATCGGGGCGTTACGCTGCCGCCCATACCGACCAGCGGTGAGTTTGGAGATGCGGCAGACGCTCTTACCTTTTGTACATTATGATGTAATCGATCAACCAACCAATCATAAGAAAGATAAAACACCAGCTAAATGATCCCATTTTCCCAGAGCCAAATGTTCAACTTTCTAGCCAATCTAGTTCTAAATTAACTCTTTGACACGAACATCGTACGCCATCAGTAATGGGTCATTTCTCTGTCTGCCTACAGGGTCCCTGGTGGAAAGTTCGACCATGTGTGAGGATCCCGCTTCCTTCCCGGGCTCTGGCTTAGGTCTGCTGAGCTCTGACAAGATAACCCTGTTGGCAAACCTCTCCGAGCGCCGTGACAGCACCTCCAGCACCCTGAGCTCAGTCTACACGCTCAGCCGGCGGTCCTCGGGCATCTCCCCGGGTTTCTCCAGTAGACGCTCCAGCCAGACGTCTCAGTTTGGCGCCAACCGCCTGACAAACATCAGCTCGGCCGGCTCCTATGACCCCATCTCTGCGGATATTTCTCGCCGTTCCAGTCAGACCAGCCAGTTTGGGGGGAATGCCTGCGGCCCCGGAGGGGGTGGGCTTGGCCTTCCCGGTCCCCTGAGCCTGACCCCAGCCCAGCACTACAGACTAAAGGCAAAGTACGCTGCTGCAACTGGAGGCGCTCCTCCTACACCGCTTCCATACTTGGATCAATCATGTCATGATTTCAGTGAACACTCGTCCAAAAACAGCCTGAGATCCGCTCAGTTCAACCAGGAACGAAGCATTTTCCCCCACGAAGTTCCGTCCCACGTCCCCCGGCGAGCCAGTGAACCTGTGAGACCTTTAGATCCGCTCAGCCAGCCGCAGATGCAGCGGTACAACAGCATGGTCACCCTAAACAGAAGGGTGTCCCTGCAGCCCCATCCTCCGCCCGATCGCAGACGCTTATCGCAGCAGGGATGCGTCCAAACAGGCGGCAGTCACTGCTACCCCTACAGCCAACGGCCGCCGAGCATCTCAGAGAATATCACCACAGAAACACGAAGCTACAGAGGAAACTCATCCGGGCTGGAAGGTGTCCAAGGAGCTCCAAGCGCACAGCAGCTGTACCGCCAGAGCGGGATGGACGGTCTGAACCCGAGCCCAGGACGGCACCGACACATGGGTTCATCCTCCCCCCACAGTGGCGCTGCTAACCCACAGTGGAACAGGTTTTCCTCAGGACTCCCGGGGGCCACTCAGCAGTACTGCAGACTAGAAGGACATGGGAATCTAGCTGTGGTCCAGCAGAGCCAGAATGTCGGACCGTACAGTGTGACCTCCCATCAACAGATGGTCCAAACCTTGTCCAACAGAGGCGTCCAGCTCAGCTCTGAAGCAGGACCGGTCCTCCTCCAGCAATCTAACCTCAATGAACCTGCCAGCTGTCGGTTTGGGTTCAGCCCCGGTTCCTACGACAGGAACGGTAACCTCCCGTACTCGCCCTGCGGCACCATGGCGCTGCACTGCAAGGAGGAGCCCAACGACGTGGAGCTCTGCCGGTTCCAGCCAGTCCAGATAAAAATGGAGAGCAGTGACGCTTCGGCTGTGATGTTGGACCAGCAGAACTGTAACACCAGGACCCAGAATGGCTTCCAAACGGGGATTCAGAACCACCTCCAGCGAAGACCACCAGCAGAACCAAAGTCTCCAAACCTGTCCAGCCCAACGCTGGTGCCGTCAGATGATTCCCAACTAGCCAAAGCTTCAGGACTTCCTTACAATTCCGATGACAATGCTCTGTTCTACAGGGGCCAGATCCAAGTCCTGGAGCCCAACGGGAACCTGGACTGCCAGGTGTCCCTGTCGGTTGGCTCGCCTTCAGCGGCTCCAGGCTCAGCAGACAACCAGGCAGACGGGACAGCCGCCGTGGAGCACGCTCAGATAGACTTTGATAGCATGCTTGATGATGGGGATCACTCCAGCCTGATGTCAGGAAACCTGAGTCCAGGGTTGCTGCTGGGCTTTTCGCCGGGTTCCTCCCGCCTGACCACGCCCAGGAACTCTGTGACGCTACCCTCGGTTCCGGCAGGAACGGGGAACATGGCCATCGGGGACATGAGCTCACTGCTGACGGCGCTGGCAGAGGAGAACAAGTTCCTCAACCTGATCGCTTAAGCGACATGAACCATCTGGGTGTAACATTCATTACTGTTCGTAAAGCCATACTTCTGTTTGCCTTAGGGTGTGAAAAGCTGCCGCTGAGCCGTCCTGGATAAGATCTAACTAAGTGCCTGTTGGTGGAAATCAGCCGGTGTGTCGGTGTTTGGACTGCGGCTCAGACAGGGACACGTTCCAGGATCTGTAGCGTTTTCATAGCTAAACGGTGACAGCTTGGCGCCGAAGGCCGGATCTGTGACTGGAATTAGAAAGCGGCGCCTCACAGCAGAGGATCTGAATATTATTATCTCACCAAACTCGACTCCTTCTCTTGTATATTGTCCTGGTTTCTTTGTAAATAGAATTTGTACATTTTTAATAAACAAGAATTATGGATTTTTTAAAAAGCTTTAGTCCTGCTTCTTTTCTTCGCAGCAGTTTCCAGATGTTCTGTGGTCTATAGAGGAAGCCTCCAGCTGGTGCTCCGCCCCCTCCTGATGCATCCGAAGCTCCTCTGTTTTATAGTTTTAGATTCATGAGATGCATCTGATCCAAGGATTCAAGTGAAATGTTTCTCAAAAATCAAAGATGAAGACAGTAACGGGGAACTAAAATAAAAACAAAGTGCACCCCTTACCCATCGGGGTACGAAGCAGCTCATTGGATGGACGTTCTCCCAGAACCGGTTCTTCGGTTCACTGAGGTCTGCAGACATTTGGTCAGACCACAGCATAGTGAGGGGGAGGTCTTTTCTTTGACTTCAGTCCCACCGCTGTACAGCAGCAGCCATTAAAGATGGCCCTTCCCATTCAAAAGCTAGCCGAATAGTAGCACAATCTCCAATACAGGGTCTGACCAGGAGATGGCGCTTCTCTTTAGATCTTAATGTTCACAAATCATGACAGAAAGAATATTTTAGATGTTTAAAAAAGAATTGTTGGGGACCAGCCAAGGACAAGCCTAGGACTAGCCAACGAGTAGCCAAGTTCACTTTTCAGTAGCCGTTCTTCTATAAAAGTATGTTTTAAGATCATTTGAGGCGAGAACATCTTACGTTGAGTTTCACTATATGGACCATTTACTGATTTAGAGCGTAATTGAAAAAAAATCTTCGAATGTTGAGAGGACGGCAGCAACCAGCAGAGCTCCGAGGGTAACGGCAGCCGGGGCTAATGTTAGCATGTCTGCAGCGGTCAGGCCTAACGATAGCCCGTCTGCAGCGGCCAGGGCTAAAGGTAGCTCGTCTGCAGCGACCAGGGCTAACGTTAGCCCGTCTGCAGCAGCCAGGGCTAACGTTAGCTCGTCTGCAGCGGCCAGGGCTAACGTTAGCCCGTCTGCAGCGGCGAGGGCTAAAGGTAGCCAGTCTGCAGCGGCCAGGGCTAACGTTAGCCAGTCTGCAGCAGCGGCCAGGGCTAACGTTAGCCCATCTGCAGCGGCCAGGGCTAACATTAGCTCGTCTGCAGCGGCCAGGGCTAACGTTAGCCTGTCTGCAGTGGCCAGGGCTAACATTAGCTCGTCTACAGTGGCCAGGACTAACGTTAGCACGTCTGCAGCGGCCAGGGCTAACGTTAGCTCGTCTACAGTGGCCAGGACTAACGTTAGCTCGTCTAAAGTGGCCAGGACTAACGTTAGCTCGTCTACAGCGGCCAGGGATAACGTTAGCTCGTCTAAAGTGGCCAGGACTAACGTTAGCTCGTCTACAGCGGCCAGGGATAACGTTAGCTCGTCTAAAGTGGCCAGGGCTAACGTTAGCTCGTATACAGTGGCCAGGGCTTAAATTAGCTTGTCTACAGTAGCCAGGCCTAATGTTAGCCCATCTGCAACGGCCAGGGCTAACATTAGCTCGTTTGCAGCGGCCAGGACTAACGTTAGCACGTCTGCAGCGGCCAGGGCTAACGTTAGCTCGTCTGCAGCGGCCAGGTTTACTGTCTACGGGCTAACGTTAGCCCTGGCCACTGTCTACGGGCTAACGTTAGCCCTGGCCACTGCAGACGTGCTAACGTTAGTTCTGGCCACTGTAAACAAGCTATTGTTAGCCCTGGCCACTGCAGATGGGCTAACGTTAGCCCTGGCCGCTGCAGACGGGCTAACGTTAGCCCATCTGCAGCGGCCAGGGCTAACGTTAGCTCGTCTGCAGCGGCCAGGGCTAACGTTAGCCCATCTGCAGTGGCCAGGGCTAACAATAGCTTGTTTACAGTGGCCAGAACTAACGTTAGCACGTCTGCAGTGGCCAGGGCTAACGTTAGCCCGTAGACAGTGGCCAGGCCTAATGTTAGCCCATCTGCAGTGGCCAGGGCTAACATTAGCTTGTTTACAGTGGCCAGAACTAACGTTAGCACGTCTGCAGTGGCCAGGGCTAACGTTAGCCCGTAGACAGTGGCCAGGCCTAATGTTAGCCCATCTGCAGCAGCCCTCTCAGCATAGCTGTGTGAAGGACCGCTGGCTCTCATTTTTGGGGTTTAATTTGGCAAAATGTTAATTTGATTTGTGTTTATCTGAATGTGTTCATTATTATTCCCCCAATAAATTAAATAAAATAAGAATTTATTATCTAGAGACTATTAATAACAGTTGAAATGCAGCTCCAGACTCGCTTTGAATGTGGTGATGTCATCAGTACGCTGCTGTTCCAGTTGACCCAGATTTATTCTGCTCCCGTTCTCCCCGAGTCCAGACTCTACTGGGTTCTAGTCAAGAACAGACTTGCCGAGAACACGAGTCCGTTCTCGCGTTCTTGTGAATTGAGAAATTGCCAGATTTTCTATCCACTGCTTCAGGTTCTGAGTCTGACCTTTGAACTCCTATGGTATAACTATAAACAGATCATAGCTGCCAGGTAAAAACGCTGGAGGACCTGCTTTCTGCTCTTCCTGTCAGCGTTTCTCTCTCTAATCCAGCAGTGAAGCTGAGCTCCGTCTGCTTCGCTCAGCATCAGACTAAATATTCTCCATCAGTTCCTCCTCTGATCGCTTCCTGTGGAGAAAAAAAATTGTGTTGATGGCTTCAATAATTCAGGAGGAAAACTTTGGCGTTTGAAGCCGCGCTCCTGCGGCCCGTGCGGGAAAAACGCACTTTCCTCTCCTTTCTTGTCCAACATCAGCGTGCGACCTCTTTGAAATAAGTTCCCTGACCTCGGCTTCCCTCGGCTGCAGGAGCAGCTGATGAAAAAGGATGCTAACCGGAGAGGAAGCGGCTCGGCGCGAGCGGAGCTGCTCTCAGCATCACTGTTGTCCAATATTAGCTCTGACAGAGCGGCCCAGAGGACTCCGCTGCTGAAACCACATAAAACAAACCAGCTGAGAGGAGCGAGGGCGCGGAGGGGGCCGCTGAGCGCTCGCAGGAACAAATGATTTTACTCTGTCAGGGAATTCAGCCGAGGATACGTTTGATGTGCAGGGGGTGATTGCTCCTGCCACCAGATTTCCTTATTCTCTCAGAGATGTGGAGTGGGAGGGAAAACAGCCTGAGGCTGGAAATCAGAGCAAGGAGAAGGAGATGATGAGGAGGAGGAGGAGGAGGCCAGTGGAGGTCCTGCATTAGCAGCAGCAGGGCGTGGGGAGGACTAACCGAGAGAGAGCCATGGAGGACGGCTGACCTGCAGCTGTCTGCCAGCAGGGGGCGACACCTGCAGAAATTTCAGGATTTTAACTGGATAAAAATCGGATCGACCAGAACCATCATCGTCCTACAGTTACTACATAAAGTCATAACATTATAAAATAAACTCATGAAATTACAAGAAAAAAAGTCTTAAATTTACAAGAATTTGTAACATTAAGAGAATACATTTTAACATTTATGAGAATAAAGTAATAACATTATAAAATAAAGTCATGAAATTCCAAGAATAAAGTCATAAATTTATGAGAATAAAGTTCTAAAATCACAAACATCCAGACTCTGTTACAGGAAGTTGTTCATTCATGTTCAGAATCGGATCTTTTTCATTCGGATCGCAGCCTCAAACATCGGAACTGATTCCTTTGGATCAGAAACTTCTGGGTCTTTTTTGATAAAAAATTTAAACCACATTAAAAGGGTCACTAAAAGCAGAACAGGACGGATTACTGCGACTTTCAGCTCCTTCAGCTGCAGGAACACCGATGAAGATCAGAGAGCAAGCTTTCATCATCGTCATCATGGTTTTAAGGGCTCTACCAGTCAGCTTCAAACTGGTTTTAAGGTCGTCTTACTGGTTCCTGGAACTCTCCATGGTCTTCTGTTCTTACAAGTCTTAAAATTATGTGAAAAAGGAACATCAGGAAAATAAAGTCGTAAAATTGTGAAAATAAAGTTGTAAATTTACGAGAAAAAAGTCATATAACTAAAAGAATAAAGTCCTAAAATTATGTGAATAATGTAACATCAGGAGAATTAGGAGAATAAAGTCATCAAACATCAACCAGTTTCAGAAAGAAAGCTTGGAGCTCCGCCCAGCAGATGACATCAGACCAGCTCCACCAATCAGCAACCAGAGTCCACTTTGACATCCTGCCCAGTTTGATGCTGCTGCTAAAAGATTTCCTGATTCATCAAACTGATGCTAAAGTAGAACTTCACACGATGCTCCACATTCCTCATTTTAGGGAAGAAAGGGATTCTGGGAAGAGTTAGCATAAAATACAACTTTATTGTCATAATTTTAGGATTTTATTCTTGTAATGTTACAACTTCGCTCTCGTAATGTTGCGACTTTACTCTCGTAATGTTGCGACTTTACTCTCGTAATGTTGCGACTTTACTCTCGTAATGTTGCGACTTTACTCTCGTAATGTTGCGACTTTGTTCTCGTAATGTTGCGACTTTGCTTTTGTTATGTTGCGACTTCGCTCTCGTAATGTTGCGACTTCATACTCGTAATGTTGCGACTTCATACTCGTAATGTTGCGACTTCATACTCGTAATGTTGCCACTTCATACTCGTAATGTTGCGACTTTACTCTCGTAATGTTGCGACTTTACTCTCGTAATGTTGCGACTTTACACTCGTAATGTTGCGACTTCATTCTCGTAATGTTAAGACTTTACTCTCGTAATGTTGCGACTTCATTCTCGTAATGTTGCGACTTCATTCTCGTAATGTTGCGACTTCATTCTCGTAATGTTGCGACTTTACTCTCGTAATGTTGCGACTTTACTCTCGTAATGTTGCGACTTCATTCTCGTAATGTTACGACTTTATTCTCGTAATGTTGCGACTTTACTCTCGTAATGTTGCGACTTTACTCTCGTAATGTTGCGACTTTACTCTCGTAATGTTGCGACTTCATTCTCGTAATGTTACGACTTTATTCTCGTAATGTTGCGACTTTACTCTCGTAATGTTGCGACTTTACTCTCGTAATGTTGCGACTTTACACTCGTAATGTTGCGACTTCATTCTCGTAATGTTAAGACTTTACTCTCG